ACAAAGGATCAATGTGCCCATCCTCTATGCTAGAGGGAGGAGCCATGGTGCAATTGCAGTAAAAGGATAAAAGAAATCTGAGGAAGAACAGAGCAGGGCCATAGCAGTCCTTCCAATTTGGGGACATATGAAAGCATATATCATGGGAATTCTAGGGATGAAAAGCAGAATGACCGCCATTGCAAAAATACTTCTGCAGCTCTGCATTAATCCAAACTGCAGCCCTTAACAATGTTAGCATTTCAATGGCTCCATCTCCATCAAGATGTTAACTCTCCCAAAGGGCATGTGCTGGTGGCCTGGATTCGTTAAACAATGCGGTTGCTGTTGGTTCACTGTTTAGTCCCAGCCAGTTTTCCAGCAGGCAAAGGAAGAGAGAGCAATTGTGCATCTCTTGCATTGCAAGAGCTCCACCGAGGGAAAAGGAATAGAAAGTTTGTTTTTCAAATCAATACTCGGCAGGGAGAGGTGCAAACGTGAGAGGAATGGACCAAGGCTAAGGCACAAGTCAGCAACATTCTTGTCTGGTGTTGCCACAAATTCATTTCCCCTTCAGATCTTTTTCTTTCCATAATTTCTGGAATATTTTTAAAATAAGTTTCTTAGATTCCTCAGGGCTTTCTCTCCCTCGCTGCTGCCATGTGCTTTGTGTTAACTTGTTGACCATAGGAATCCGGTTTCCTAAAAGGCCCATGATAAAACTTACAACAAACCCTGTGATAAGTTCCAAATGTTGTTCCAATACATGCACACATGTATATGGTCAGGCTTAACATATAGATGAGTTCCGTCTAGTCTCTGCCAGTGACAACTAGGATAGTCCAGTGTCCTCCAGGAAGGCTAACTCCATTAGTCCACCAGAAAAAAAACAAAGCACTTAACAAGCAGTGGAGAGGCGCAAATCACTGCACTGCACTTTGAATTTATCCTTTGCCTGATCATCTTCTACATTGCATGTGTCAGCTGTATTGGCTCCAACACAAGCCCATCTACTCACAAGATCAAGCCCACTGCTGGCTTGTGACAAGGGAGACATGCAGCAGGAGGCAAGTTTCCAGCAATTCACTTGTTTGTCCCCCTCCCTCCCACTGATTGCAGTCTGACAACGAATATTAGATATGAGGGTCCCTCTCCTGGCTGCCATCATGTCCCTAGTAGCTTTCCATGGTGGCACAAGCTTCCAAAATGTGTGCTGTCCTCATCTGATACGAACATGCAGCACAGGGCTATGACTGAGACCATAGGTAGTACAGGGATACTGTGAGATAAAGAGACTGACACTTCCCCCCCATACGCTACAATGATGGAGGTTCCTCTTTACTACTACTGTAACTAATTTCTGTCTGCTGCTACAGCACAGCAGATGACAGAGACACCTGCTACACATATGTAGTTTTTCCAGATCGCTAGATGAAAAAGAATATGTGACAAATAGAGTAATGCAAAATAATCATTTTATTTAAAATAAGAAGCAGAAAACTCAATCATTATCTAGACAAAACAATTCAGAGCATTGCAGCTCTGCCCGGCAGAGGACGAATAAGAGAAGTTAGTGGCAGTGATAGGGCTTTAACTGTCCAATGAATCAGCAGGCTCCATTGCCCCCCTCCCAAGAGGAACACACAGCACGGTCTCTGGGAATCCAGCCCGCACAGAGGTTTCACAGTGCCACCCATCTGTCCCCATAGGATGGCTGGGGATTCAGGAAGGAAAAGGGCCTCTCGATTAATCTTGCCAGAGGCAGACATCTCTCTAGTAAGCAGTTGGGAGAAGAAGTTGGCATTAGTCTGACCACAGTTAGAGAAAGGAGGAAGGGAGGCTACTACTAGCTTCCTACTACTAGTAGGAAGGGAGGCTACTACTAGCTCCCCCACCCTATGTGTATGGAGCAGGTATCTTCAAAGAAACATGCATTCTATGAACTGTAGCTATGTTTCTGACAAGATTTCACCAGTCAGTCCCTTTAACTTGTAACAAGGGAAGAGGTGAACTTGGGATACAACTGATTCACATCAGCTGCTAAACAGGGGTAGAAAAGCAGTGCCTGATCTCAGATGTTCATTGGCCAAAAGGAAAGAAGAGAGGACAGCAAAACTGACTTGCAGTAGCAAACCTGGGATTCTAATTCAGCAAGTTTAGGCACCAATATTTTCATCCCAGAGCTCAATGAAACCTACCCCTACATTTGGCACAGTTCATGTAGGGTAGGGTGACCAGATAGCAAGTGTAAAAAATCGGGACGGGGGTGGGAGGTAATAGGTTCCTATATAAGAAAAAGCCCCCAAAATCGGGACTGTCCCTATAAAATCAGGACATCTGGTCACCCTAATGTAGGGTGAATTGGTTTTGAAGTGGGCACTTCTGAAGTTACCGCTGAGCAAGTTCCCAGAAGCACTGAACCTTTGTGCCTGTAGCACTTGTTAGTGGGAGGAGCTAGTGCCAGTTTAGAAAGCAGTGTGTAGCCTGCTTAATAGGGGCTTAACCATATTCAGTCATTTGTAACACCTTTTGCAGAAGGATCAAGGGTGTTTTACAACCATTAATTCAAAGTAGCTTCACAACATCCCTGCAAGGTATGTGTTATTGCCATTTTAGAGCTAGGACATCAAATACACAGAGAGGCTAAGCTATTTGGCCAAAGTCACACAGCATGAAAGTAGTGGACCTAAGAAGAAAACCCAGCAGTCCTGAGTAAGGCTGGCTGGAAAACAAGAATTTTGTTTCACAAAAAATGCTGAGGTGCACATTCCAGCAGGCTAGCCAGTCCCTTTTGCTCACTCCCGGCTGCTGAAGCTATTCCACTTTGTATAAATCATCAAATATTCAGCAGCTTAATGACTGGTGCTATAGGCATGTGGTTAGGGTACACACCTGGGATGCAGGAGACGCAGGTTCCAGTCCCTACTATCAGGCAGAGCAGGGACATGAACCTGGGTCTCCTGCATCTCGGGTGAGCGCCTTGGCTATTCTGGGTCTGTCTCTCTGGTTTTAAGTAGAAACTCCATCCTAGACTTGAGGAACCTTCCCAACAAAGTTTTCATGAAACCCAATATACCTCTATGCAAAGTCAACCCGTTCCGAGGAAGAACATTCGAGTAGCTCTAGTTCAGAATTCCAGCCCTTGTACTAGGCGGCCTGAACAGGGCCATTGCTTCTCAGTTGAGGCAAGGGATGGCTTTGTGGAAGTCAGCTGACATTATCTTTCCTACTTCTAGTTTCAAATGTTACCTTATAGACCATTCAATACGAGGAGACGGTGTCCATTTTAATTGACAGCTTTATTGTCACACCACTGATCTGTTCATAGGCATGGAAAAGTGCTCTGCACTCTGGAGCATCAGACTGTGCAATTGCTAGAAAAGGAGCAGCTTTCATGGCAGTGGGAGGCAGGTTGGTTTCCCCATGACAGACTTCAAGGGCTCAGGCCCAGACTTCTTTCATACAGTAAAATATAAAGATGAGGCACAGCTGTAACCATGCTGCTAAAGGCAGCTAGCCACCTCAGAGCGAGGCAATGGCCCAAACCACAGCCCCGAGAGCTTTATAATCCAGGTTAACCCTTGCCACTAGGAGGGGGATACCCTTCTAATCCTGTAGCCACCACAGCCCCCTATCTTGTTCTAAGTGATAGCAGCTGCAGCCTGCTCCATTTTATGAAGATAACGTGCAGTATGCAGGCTCTGGGCAAGCTGCCAATGTGCCCCCTGAGCTAGGCAGACTACAGGCATCCTCGGCCAGGGAATCTGGATGTTTTGACACAAAACCGTCTTCGGAGCTAAGCAGCCTTAAGGAAGAGTCCCCCTGCAGGAAAGACTGCAGCGGTTTTGAAGAGAAGTCTGCGCATTTGTGTTCTATTGCCACAAATGCACTCCTTGGATTTCCTGCTTAGGGATGCACTGATAAGCCACCTGCCTCACACCTCCAAACTCCCTCCCACGTCTCTGTTACATAAAAGTGACTGGCACAAAGGAGACTTGGAAACAAAGGTCTGTACTGCTGACAAACCAAGATAAGCAGGGCTCACTTTTACAACAGATTGGGCCATATCCTGAGATGGGAGAGGGAACACAAATAGTAAAGGACAAGTTAAAAACCAACATTCAGGGGGTCTACTTAATACACTGTATACAGAAAATTCACAGTTAAGGTTGCCAGTCTGCATTTTAATTCAGTCACTAGTGCAGTGTTTCCCAAACTTTTTACCTCATGCCCCCCATACCCTGTCCACGCTCCCCCCCCCACAGAGCCAGGAGCGGGTCTGCGGCTCTAAGAGGGGGGCTGCGGACAATGGTAACGGGGCCAAGGCTGGGGCTACAGCTTGGGACGGGGGCAGACCTTCAGCCAGGGGTCGATCCTCAGCTGGAGGCAGAAGCCTTCAGCTGCGGCTGGGCGGGCAGCCAGGACCCCAGATGTGGGGCCAGGAGCCGTGGTCAGGAGCATATTCCCGGGCCTGGGGCTGGCAGCCAGGACCCTGGGTGCAGGGCTGGCAGCCAGGATCCCCAGGCACAGGCCAGGAGCACAGCTGGGCAATGCTCCCTCCCCACCCCCTTTGGGGTTGGTCTGGGCCCCAGCCACACCCCACGGAACTTTACTCCACCCCCCCCCAGAGGGCGTGCCCCACGACTGAAGACCTCTGCACTAATGCCTAGGCATTGCGGCTTATATGAGAGAGTGCACTGCCCCTCTCTTTTCAGTTCCCCCTCCCAAACAGCAAAACTGAAATGAGGGTGCAAAGAGAAACAGTCCAATTAGCTGGCTCTTGTGTGCAGTGTTCTTTGTATCAGAGAAAGATGGTTATTCCCCCGTTTCCCCACAAGCACAGCCTCTAAGGTGGCTGGGAGCAGGCTATAGGAAAGCTTTAATGCACAGGCCCCGGTAAATTAATATCAACCATCCTAGTAGATTGCTTGGGGATGAGTCTTTATCTTGGCACAATACCACTGCAGCTGTGTGAACCCAAGCATCACCTGTTATTTTAAAACAGGTAAGACAAAATACACCCCCCCCCCCCCGGTACTCTTTTACAGAGCCCAGAGCAAGTGCTACTAAGCTCCTAAATACATGACCTCAAAGAGACAGCTGCTTGCTGGGGCTGAATAAAGTCTGTAATTCAGTTATATAGTTTTCCCCCTACACCTAAGGTTCATGGGTAACTGTTGATAGATGGTGACTTTCAGTGGCTTCTACTATACAAGAAGCCACTCATCTCTTGTTCCCTCAAGCCCCAATGCTACATCCAAGTGCCAGTTAATCTTTTTATACTTAATATGGCAGATACCAAGCATAAGTACATATGATCATTGCTGGTTAAGGTGTCACATCTTAGACTATTTGGGTTTAGTCAGAGTGTACGTAGATTAATATGACCACAAAAGGTGCTTCTCACAGGTAGCCATTTCTAGTCATTTGAAGTCACCTCAGAGTTCAGAGTACATAACAGTTAGTCTCCCTTCCAGCGCTCTGGTACAATATCCACCGGATGTTTGTGTAGAGCAAAGGTGCCAAGATCCTCTCCTAATTTCAGCATGTGCAGTACATGTAAACGTATGACAGGGTCAAAGCAGGGTAGGTTTCTGGATGTAGCTGCTGGTTTTAAAATAGTCCTTTAAAAACAGGTATCAGACTGTTTTCCTTGCCAACTTCATGAACTGTAAGACACATGGCATGTCCTTGCCCAGAGCTGGGTTATTTTCTGATCATTTAGTGCACTTTTTTGGGGGTACAGAAGGGCACTAAGCATTGCACAGTCATTTAGACTTGCGAGTTCCCCCCAGTAGTTAGTAAGGAGTCATCTTTAGTCAGCACGTGATGGAAGATAGGAGTTTGGATCAAAGTAGCAGTGAAGACTTGAGAAGGATCATAAGAGTAGATAGGAGCTGAGAGGGGTAGAACAGAGCTGGCTGCTAACGGAGCTTCGAGTGGCAGCTGCCTCTAGACGGTTCTTGTTAGCTCTCAGGGGTGAGCGCGGCTTCCGCAAGATTCCCTAATCCTGTCAAAAAAAGTACAACTGCCTGTCATGACTATAACCTTTCCTCCAGTGTCACAATGCAAGACAGCAGTATGCTGCCTAAGCAAAGGACTAAGGGTTTTTTTTGTTTTTTTAATAAAGCTGCTGACGTGCTTGACAAGGCTTAGAAACAATTCTGCTTATATTGACGGTATTCTTCAACACAATTGCAGCTGAAACCCCAGCCAGCACTACAGTGTCATCTAAGGAGTTGGCAGAGGTAACAAGCAAATCATGAGCTGCAACATAGAAAGGCCTGGAAGAGATCTGGACAACAGAGAGGGGCTCTTGGACAAGGTGCTAACTTATTAGTCTTTTGTAATACACCTCTACCCCGATATAACGCGATCCGATAGAACACGAATTCGGATATAAGGCAGTAAAGCAGCGCTCCGGGAGGGCAGGGCTGCGCGCTCCGGCAGATAAAAGCAAGTTCAATATAGTGCGGTTTCACCTATAACGCGGTAAGATTTTTTGGCTCCCGAGGATAGTGTTATATCGAGGTAGAGGTATATATACCAAATATTAAAATTAAATGTTTTCACTGCAAGAGGCTGAAAAAAATGCAGAAAGGATGGAGCTCTGCAATATAGTTTGCATTTCTAAGAGATCAGGAAACCAGGATCTGTGTTCATTAGCTTCTGCTGCTCATTCTCAGCCTGAAGTCAGAACTGGCTGCTAGAACTGAAACTGAGAGTATCATAAGAAGGGATTAGAACAGGGGTTCTCAAACTGGGGGTCAGGACCCCTCAGTGGGTCGCAAGGTTATTATATGGGGGGGTCGCAAGCTGTCAGCCTCCACCCCAAACCCTGCTTTGCATCCAGCATTTATAATGGTGTTAAACATATTAAAAAGTGTTTTTAATTTTTAAGGGGGGGGGGTCGCACTCAGAGGCTTGCTATTTGAAAGGGGTCACCAGTACAAAAGTTTGAGAACCACTGGATTAGAACCTCAGCTGGGAAATAAGATGCTAGTTCAGTTAACTCCAAACATTTAAGGATAGTTTGGTGTTTTGACTCAACTCCATATGACTTGCCTACTACTCAAAGACAGGAGAAGTTGAATGCTGTATCACTGAATGTTAAATAGCCATATATACCAAAAGAGCAGACAGGGGCCTACACAGGCACATTACGCATGCATCTGGGAAGCGAGACTCCTCCAGCTGGGTCAGTACTATGTGCATCTTTCTGCTAATTCATCACAGAGCTTGCAACCACAAGACAGATTCAGAGCAACCCAAGGTCTGTGATGAATTAGGGGATGCATAAATGAATGTGAGGTGGTTGGTACAAACAGCACTTTAGTGTGGTTAACTTGTACCTTTTACCCAAGGGTATCAGGGACAACTGCTCAGAAGCAGGATGGTTTCTAAATCCAGCATTTTGCCATAGCTTTTTAGTAGTAAATATCTCCCAAATGCCTAACGTTTTCCGATCCTCCTTACCTTGGAGCCCAGGGATGGGAGAAAAGACCTTGTCCCAATAAATTCACACCAAGTGAATTCTGTTATCATTTATTTTAAGTGTCTCCCTCCACAAATCAGCTAAGATCTCAGGCTTCGGCACAGCTTCTTTTTTCTCTTTTTTTAAGTGTTAAAGCAACAAGGCCTTACAATGAAGTTTATAATCTGTTAATCCTTACAAAAATTGAATAGTAGGCAGAATTGAAGTAGTCCAGGCAACAGTGAAGTAGGAAAGACTAAGTATACAGAGTTGCTTGAAGCTTTTCAGTTTGGACACTCAGGTGATCAAGCCTTGTTTTCTGCTGGTTATTCCTCCCTTTGCCAATTTACCACACAATTATGCTCCTCAATGGGCACTGAATCTGATATTCCACTTTCCCCGCAAAATGCCCCGCTACTCCCAAGTTCATCCCCAGCAATTGGAGCATTCCTTCTATATTAAAAAATGATTAGAAAAAAGTTATAAAAAACTGTTTATTAAATAATGTAAAATTTCTCCTGGGCACTTTCTTTTTTAAAGAGAAGATCTTAAGTTCCTGTTTGGAGCAGGGCAACGTAATTAGAATTGGGGAAGAAGGGAGAGGAGAGAGGACATCATCAGTGGCAAGCTGTTTCACAATCTAGGCAGCCCCCTCATCCTCCACCCCCCCGCATCCCACGCATGATGGAACAGCCTAACCTAACCCTGCCATCCCTGCATTAAAACGTCTTTTGTTTGGAAAAAGAAAGAGCCGTCACATCTGGTCACCTGGAGGAGCTGCGTTCTTTGCTCACACAGTCATCTTGAGAGGTAGTGTCACCGTTACCCATCATGCTGCAAGTCCTTCTCTTTTTCCGCCGATGCATCATCCCTTCAGTCTCAGAGCCAGAATCACACTAAGTACAGAGAAAGACAAAATGAATAAGCAAATCAATGCAGGGAAATACAAACCTTCAGTTATTACTCAGAAGATCTGACAGTGAACCACACCTGTGCTAATACAGTCACCAGAGAAGTTATCATGCATGTTCTTCCCCGAAGCATCACAATTTCTATACAAGAGAGCATGTTGCATGCCCTGCAACTTACTGCAATACACTTAGGCTAAGATTTACAGGTATTCTAATCTGGCACCCAAAGGCCCCTGATTTTCAGACTGAGTGCTCAGCACTTTCTGGAAAGTCAAGTCACTTAAGGTGTCTCAAGTTGGGCAACCAAAATCACTAGTCACATTTTAAAAAAAATCTTGGCCCTAACTCTGTGGCCTTGTTCCCCATCTACAAAATAAGGATAGTTTTACTTTCTATTTAAAGGGTAGATAGAAATTTGTAAAGTGAATAAAGAGCCTCAGGTGAAAGGTGCTGTGCAAGTACTAAACTAGTCAAATTTTCTCAAAGGCGGTAAAGGTTGGTGGGAACTCAAACTCACTCTCCCTCCCACTAAGAATTTTTGGATGAGAATCTCTCATTCAGGTTCCTCTGAACACCGTAAAGAATTAATTAGGCAATTTAATAAGAGTCAGTTAATAGATATTACTACTGAGTGGCAAAAGAAGAAAGTTTGAAGGATGGGAGAGAAAATGAGAAGAATGTTTCCAGGTGTCAGAACATGAACACTGTATGGCCGGAGAGAGGAGGCAGGGTCTACACAAGTCCCTACTCACGGAAGTGACAAGGTCTCAAAGAAGTTGGGAGTATATCCATGCAACTTAAAAGCAAGGGAAGAAGATCTGCAAGGAGCTGGATGCCAAAACAAATGGGAAGCCAGTGGAGCCATTAGAAGATGGTGAAAGAAGGAGCGCAAAGTATATTAAGCATAAAAAGATGGATTCTGGGGAGCACAGAGAATCAGGAACGTCTCAAAACCAAGTTTGTTTTGGCAAGAGGAGTGGGCCAACCCTCACAGAAGACTAAAGCTCTCACCAAGATCCCCACTGGTCCAGTCCTTTGCTTTATACTTGCACACTATTAGTTTCTCTGAAGTTTAGGATTTAACTTTGGAGTCTAACGTTTATTCAACTGTTACCGTCAAACCCACTAGAGAGTTGTGAGTCAGGGAGATTGTATGTATTTTTAGAAAAGAAACAGGCAAGGCTCCTTCGACAACTGGTTTAAAAGGGTAGCATAGTCATGGGATAAGGGTCATCTGCAGTGTCAAATCCTTACCTCTGAATCAGAGTCCGAGGAGCTGGAGCTAGAGGAACTGGAGGAATCACTGGAACTATCAGAAGCAATACCTGTTGATTCTTGTAGATCAACTGAATCAGCCAACACTGCCAGCTCAGGATGCTCTTGTTTTAGGATCCTAAACACAACCATCATGATTAGGAATTAGAACACAATGAGAAACAAAAGAATGTCCTTGCTTTTATGGGTTTTAATTTACACTAGCATGGTTTTAATTTACACTAGCATACACCACAAAATCTGTCCACTGCCACGTTAATGCAAGAGCAACAGATAATGATTTGCTAGCAAGGTGCATCACGTAGCATTGTGCAACTGCCTGCACTCTAGCTTTGATGGGTTTTTATATAGTTTCCATAGTTATTTTACCTCAATTTAATATTCTAACACGCAACATCAGAGTAGAGGACATTAACAAGATTTTGATATCAATAAGGTCCTCCTGAAGGGAGAATGGAATTAGTAGTGATAACTGAGTTGCCTTTTTTTTTATTTAAAGTAGTTAGAAGTAAACTGTGCTTATATTCAGAGGCTACTGGGTGAGAAAAATTCCTTGAATTTAAAGGTTTCCATAAGATACTAGATCTGGACAATAGACATCTCTAGAAATCAATAAGGCATATGAAGCCTTTAACTTCTAGTTTACATGGATAAACATGAGCCACCTCAGTAGTGACTTAAAGTTGTTGCTACCTAATGGCTAGTTAGCAGAATCTCAGCTCCTCCCACTAGAGCCTTGTCCATGTCACAAGAACCACATCACAATTAGCCTTATTGGTGGTGGTCTCTGCAGAACCAGAGAGTGAATGGGAAGGGAGAATAAGATACTCTCACCATAGTAGTTATCTCTGCAGATCCGGGGAAAAGATATATCCTTTCCAGGGGATAGTGGACTTCCATCTCCAAGGCAAATAACAGGACTCCCATCTCCATGCCCGCTAACATAAATCCTTTCACCAGTACTAAATTCCCCTTAAATGCTTAGAGCAGCAACACCCAGCATATTGGATCACGTACCACCTTCTTAAAAAATTGTGAAGTAACTGATGGAACATCAAACTCATGCAGCACCAGTGGAACATGTACCACACTTTGGCAATCCCTGACTTAGAGCATTAGTTTACTAACTTACTGCCTCTACATTTTATCATGCTTAGCAAAGAATTTTCAGATTGCATCGTCTAAGTTTTATGCATGTCACTTGAACTCATCAAGTCAGCTCCACGAGAGGTGAAATCCAGATCAGATCCTTCCCCAAACAGCAAGACTAATCTACCAACTCCAGGGGAGGGAGCCAAGAAACGTTGCTGTAAAAAGCAGGACATAGTTTAGAAAACATGTCTTTAAAATGACTCAACGTGTTTTTCCCCAAGAAAGTTGTACGCAAATATATACTATTAGTGTTATTCCAGCTGCATGTCTTGCTTTGAAAGAAAGTGTTTGGACTATCCCTTCAATTGCCTGGAAATTAGAAATAGGAACAGAATTTACTGCACCGTTACCTGTACCACTTCCTTGATAATTTTGGCCTCCCTCTTACTGTCTTGTGCCATACCACAGGGAAGTTGGTACAGCTGGCAAAGTTCTGTGTGATGGCAATGGTTGTATCGAGATTGAGAACTACGTGCCACCAGCCACCTACAAAATGCAATGCAAGAGCAACTTTTAAACACACTTTTTTATATTGTTTATCTAAAGTATTGTAGATACATCTATCTAAGGTACTTGTATGGCCCCTATCACCACAGTATCTGAGCACCTCACAATCTTTAATGCATTTTCTCTCAATACCCCAGTGCTGTTATTTTACAGATGGGAAACTGATGCACCAAGAGACTAAGTGGCTTACCTAAAGTCACATGTGATGTGTGTGGCAAAGCAGGGAGAATCAAGTTCAGTTCCCAAGTCCCAGGCAAGGGCCCTAACCACTGAAATATCCTTCCTCAGCAGATGGAATCAGCAATAGCTAATAGAGCCCACATTAAGAGGTGGAGTTGCATGTATATTAAGACCGGTCTGTGGTTATGAATTTATGTATGTGTGTATATTATAAAGTCATAACCACAGTTGTACACATCTCATGACAATCAAGTTCAGAACATTACAAGCCTCCATAAAAGGCCTTCCTGATACACTTTTATAGTACAATAATACAATATACAATCAGTTGGTTCAACTGCTCATTTTAGGGATTTAAACCATCTATTCTTCTTTTGAGTTTCTGGACCCGGATTGTCACACTTTCATACCAGGAAGTCCCTCCACTCACACTCCAACATCTTCCCCATATGATGACCAAATACAGAAGACTGCCTGCAGGCTTTTTTCCTAGGTCTCTTATTTCAGAATTTCCCCCATACATAAGCCCTATCCGAAAGCTGTAATCCTTTGACTCAGTGCAGTATTCTTCAAGTTCAGTGACAGAACTTTCCAGCACACTATAAGTTAAATCTTCATTTTTGGTTAAGTGGTATTTCTGAGTATCTGGCTACTGACAGCTTGCTTAACCGCAAATGCCACTGTGACCCAAGCTGCACAAAGGCCCAAGGTCTAACTGCAGATCAATTTTCACCCTCAAGGGAGTTTTTAGCTTGAAGAATTTCACTACCTTTTTTTTTTTTTAATAGAAATGTTTAAAGTTGCTTTTTTCCATAAAAGGGTAAAATTAGAGAGGTTCATATGGTCATGCTGTAATCCCATAAAAAAAATAAAGCCAGGATTCATAATGGAAATTGATAAGGCTCCAAAGCCTTCTTAACTGAAGACATAATAAAAAGGCACTAAGTGCCAAGATTATTACAAGGCACTTTGCAAACATGAAATCATCATCCCCATTTTACAGAGAAGTAAACAGGCACAGAAGGGGAGATAAAGGATTTGCTCAAGCTCACATAGCAAGTCAGGGACAAATAAGAATAGAATTCAGGTGTCAAACTCCCCTGCTCTATCCAACAGTTGTGCTCTTTTCCCCACCCAATTAAAGGAGGTGTAAGTGTGCATCAATTTCATAGAAATGCTATGCCCTTTTAATAGAGACACTTTTAGAAGCTACGGCATAATCTTGCATTTGAAATTAAAGTTGTGGAAAAAAGAAGATGGATGGGGTCTGTCTGCATTTTTGTATGACTTTTTCCTCACACCTCACAAATCCTGTCATTTATTACACTGTCAGTAACCCCAAGAAAACAGAGAATGAGAGAAAGTTATTGGTCTTCAAAGGCCTCTATTCTTCCATGCTTTGATTACTTCCTCACTGTATAGTTTAGTTCAGGATCATTTTCCCAAGCACACATGTCCTGCTTGTTATGCCATCAGTCCCCTGTAACAGGGGAACATACATGGCATTTATGTTTTGGATATTCAAAGGGCAACATAAAAATGGTTTTAAACAGTGTCCTATAGTGTACAGAATTGGAAAATGGAGGACCATGTAAACAAGTGTGGACACTTTTTCAACAAGGATACATCTAAATACGTGTTCTCCCATACTACTACAGATTTCCACTGGAGACAGCCACACATACCTGGTACAAAGACGGTCTCGCCTGGTTTCTGCACAATTTCCAGGGGTTTGAATTCAGGAGGCCAGGTGGGGAGCTGTGTCCTAGGGTATATGATACTGAACCAAGTGATCGCCTCATCCTGCTGGTTCCCTCCTTCTTCCCGTGTCACTTTGATCAACTCTCTGGGAGTGCTGGTAGGGAAGAGGCACCAGCGCTTATGTCCGTGGACTAAGGCATTCCAAGCACTGGTTCCCAGAGGATCAATATGAATTCCTGTTCCTGATCGAGGTGGGCCCATTACAAACCATCTGCACGGGGTGGGGGGGGGGGGCAGAGAGAGAACCAAACATCCAGGTGCATTACAAGAGATAATTACTTTCTTCTATGAACTTTTCATTAAGCAAGCATGTTTCCCTTCCATTTCTACCACAGATTGAAATTAACATGGCTCTTTATATATTTCTTTGTTTGGGCACTAGAAGCAGAGTTGGCAGCAAAGCATTGACTATAGGGACTGTTAGTTTAATACTGCAGCAAAAAGTGCATAACATTTTTGCCTAGGACCTATACAAATAATGGCAATTGTTTTCTTAGTTTCTTGGAGCAAGGCTTTGTTTGTTTATATTACAATAAAAATTGTTTAGAAACCAGAAACTGTTCCTCAGTAGATGATGATTACATCTGTTTTAAGGGCCTAAACCACCTGGTGTATAAAATGGTAATTGTGTTTTTCTAAGCTTTTTCCTGGTTGTGAGTAGCATCTATAGATGTGCTGTTCTACAATTCTTGTTCCAATGAGGAATAAACAAAAACCATCTTCAGATAAGGGTTAAGAAGATGAAGTTAAGACAGCTCCCATCACCCACACACTGTTCACTTGTGACTTTCTATTCACCATTTCATCATTTACCTGGTCATAGTTAATTCCCCAATAGTCTCGTTGGGAAGATAAGCAAGTCATTTTTCTCCATGCAGAGAACTACTGCTTCGAAGGCTTAAAGTTACACCCATCCTTAGTGATCTCAATTGGTCTGGGACAGGATATGAAAATGTACGTAAGATATCATACTAGATACTGTTATCTTAAGTGGGGTTAATCACTAATAGATGTCCACAAGAGAAGGAAATAAATGCAGGTTTCTATGGGCAGAAGAGAGATTATGAATTAAGCACTCAAACAAGGGAATTGTGAGTCCTATTTCAATAAGATGCTTTGAGAACATCGATTATGACCAGGTGACAGTGCTGGAAATGGCAAATACCCCCGACAAGAACTGTTCACTTCCCTGAGCTACATAGTTGGATCGATGTTAACTTTGTAGTGCAGGCCAGTCCAAATGTGTGGGGAGCATCTAAATTAGCTTTCATAAAAACCTTCACTACTTTGAGACAATTACGGTTAATTGATAGGCAGTTAAGGTAAAAACACTAGTGTAGAAAAGCCTTTAGGCAGAGCTTGTATGAAATATGGAGCTAACATGAACTAGCTAAGTCTAACCTAAACCTGACACTTTCCTAGGGCTGGTCTATATTGGAAACTTACATCCACAACCCTGACACACATAGTTATGTCGACCTAACCCCTGGCGTAGACAGCACTAGGTTGATGGAAGAATTCTTCCATCAACCTACCTACCACCTCTCAGGGGAGGGTGGATTACCTATGCAAACAGATACTGTCTACACTGAAGAGCTACAACAGCACAGCTGCAGCACTGCTGCTGTACAGTTTTAGCCCTAATCTAGACATGACGTAAAATACTGCTTGCTTTAGCAGGGCAGGACTTAAGCACAACCAAAGTCTCATTGAAGGCCTAATAGTAAACTTGAGCCCAGTAACATAATTTGAAAATTCGAAGTCACTTTACAGCCACACAACATGGCTCTGGGGTAGGCATTATTCTCATTTTACAGATGAGGAAACTGAGGCACGGAGCAACTTGTCTAAAGTCACATATCAAGTCTGTACCAACAGCTGTTAACAGAACTCAGGAGAACTTACTGAGTTTTCTCCTCTCTATTCCATATTTGCATGATAATCTTGAGATATTTATAATCAAAGTAAATTTAGTTTGCTTGTGAGCAACTGACAGAAGAAACTGGAATCTACATCCCATCGCCACCCCATGGATACTGTACCTATAAGGTGGTCTGCGCTTCTCTCCTGCATATTGGAATAGGTCATCAGTGAAGAACTTGGGCACTTTGTAGTCTTCCAGGAGTTTCCTGCGCTTAGGGTGCTCTCCATAGCTGCTGTCGAAGATGTAGAGGGGGCTGTCATCACGTGTGGTCTCCATATACTCTATGTAATATTTCATCTTCATCTTCACAGAGTACCCATCATTGTCCTCACCACACTTGAACTTCTGGTTCCTGTACTTGCGCTTCAGGCGTTCTAGAGTCCACTTCTCTTGGGCAGACCAGCCCATCTGAGCATTCAACAGAACTACAGGCTTATAAGGCTTTTCATAACGCTCAACAAATTCTTCCACCGATAAATGGAGTGCATCTGCCCTTTCCACATTATCCTGTAAAAATCAGAGAACAGTTGGGAAAAAAGAACTGCAATGTACCACAAACCACCTTAATCACCACAGGCCAAGTTTCTAAAGGTTGGTACCTAAAATGATGTCTACACTATAGCTGTAGTACCATAGTGTAGACATTTCCTACAGTGACAGAACAGGTTTTTCCATTGCCGTAGATAATCCAACTCCCCAAACAGCAGTAGCTAGATTGACGGAAGCATTCTTCCACTGACCTAGTTGCGTCTACACAGAGGTTAAATTGGCATAGCTACAGCACTCTGAGGTATGAATTCTTCACACCCCTGAGTGCTGTAGCTATGTTGACCTAACTTGTACATGTAGGCCAGGCTTAAGCTGCATCTGGTAAATTTACGTTAGCAAGCCCTACACTTGCATTCAAATCTAGAGGATATGGAGACATTACCCAGAGTGCATGCAATTTTAGGCTTCCCCTGCACAATACTGCAGTGTCAGACGCCAACTGTAATAAGTCTCTGTCCCTGCTTCTACACACATCACCAACATCATGAGAAACATGAGCATATTTAAATTTTGCTTTATGCTCTTCATTGTAGAGGTGACCCAAGATCCAGTAGGGGTAAGGAAATCCATAGCCTGAAGCCTGGCAAACAGTCCCCCCTGCACAGCATTTTACTCTGCTATTTGTGATGTGAGAATTCTATTTCTTCCTCCCCCTGATACCATGGGGAAGGGATTTAGAAATTACCTTTGAATTAAGTAGGCACGTCTGTATTAAGTAAAAATACACACCACTATAGAATCCAGAGGTTTTCCCAAGTCCCTTGTCAATCCTGTTTTTATTATTTTGTTTTTTATTATCCATCCTCTGATTCACCCATCCTGTCTTCCTCAGACATTTCTATGCATCTCCCAGACTCTCCTTTCAGGTCACCTAGTTAAATATTGTAGGCCCAACAATCATCCACCACTAGGACAGTTAACCAAATGACAATAGCTTTTTTCCATTTCCAAGCATTTTCCTTTCCTTTAAGCCCACATACTGCCCATTATCTTCATCTCCTGTCCCTTCCCCCCACTCATACTCCAGCATCAAAAACGTGCTTGACGAGCTTCCGGGAAGGGGAGAGCTCCACCAGACCTGAATCCTAGGAGTCACACTCAAGGAAGAGCAGCACGAGGCGCTCCCTCCCTCTCTCAAGTAAGGAGGAAGCTACTTCTAATAAGAAGGCAATGTGATGCATGCCAACCCTTTCCCTTGATCTGGCCAGTCCCTTGCTCTCCCACAGCTTGTACGATACCCAGTTTAGACTAAAGCTCTTTGGGCCAGACCCTGGCAATTTCTTAGCTGCCTTGGGGTGAAGTACCAGCAGCACCTCTGGCTGTGAAAAATTTGCTGGCTTCATAGGACTAGGCCACGGGTCCGGCGCAACACTGCGCTGCTCTCCCAAGCCAGACTCCTGCCTTAGGGAACCACAGAGCCGCCTGTCCCCTCCCCACTCCTCTTCATATGTGGGGTAGTTGGGGGGGGGGTATGAAGTCTCCCATTTTCCCCTCTGCGAGCTCCCACACACACCTTGGATGGATGCTCTAGGGACGCGCCAACCCCCTTCCCTGGGTGCCTCTTCTTCCTGGGGCATCCCGGGGGGGGGGGGGCTCCACCGTTCCCCCACCAGAGACCCTAGGCTCTTTACCCCAGGATCCGAGTTCAGCCTGGAAATCCCATTGCCAAGGAACCGACACCCCCTGGCCAGCCCCCACCGTAAAGCCCCCTCCCCTTGGAGCTCAGGTCTGGAACGAGGTGTCCCCCTCCCGGTCGGCCCCCACCGTGCACCTCCCCAGGCTCGGGTCTGGCAGGAGCCAACCCCCGGGCTCCCCCCAGCCCGGTCCGCACCGTGCAGGCCGCCGGGCTCAGCGGGAAGGTCTCGCAGTAGTTGTGCCGGGTCCAGTCCAGCGAGTCCTTCAGCTCTGGCCGGGCGCTGCGCTTCGCCTCCCGGATCCGCTTCTTGCTCTTGTGGTTCATGCTCGGCGACCCGGGGCCGGGGCCCGCCGCCTCCTCCGCTCCCGGACGGGCCCCGACAGCCGCCTCCTCCGCTCCAGGCCCCAGGACCCGCTGCTGTTGCCGCCGGCACCACTAGGGAATCCCGGCCCCGTCGCCGGCTCGGCTCCCAGCCAGGGCCGCCCGCCACTCCGCCAAACCCGCGGCCTGGAGGCTTCGAGAAATTTCACCCCTGCCCCTACCCCTACCTCTACCTCAGCTAGACCGGAGCCCCGCCCACGAGCGCCGCGGCGCGATCCTATTGGTCATTGCCTTGCCTTCCGCCACGCGCCCCTGCCCATCCCCGGCAATGATTGGCCGCGCCGGACCCGGAGAGGTGGGGTCTTTGCCGCCATCTTGGGAAGGAAACGTCAGCGAGAGGGAGGGAGGGTAGCTAGGGCTGAGCAGGGCAGCTCCCTGCTCCACCTACCCTCCTTTCTTGTGCTTCTCTTCTCCAGGTTCCCCCTCGCTCCACTTTGTCTCTGCTCTCCCGGATTTCCTTCCCTTCTTCTCTCCACCCTCCTCCACTTCTACTCACTCCCACCAGCCCATTGTCTTTTCAGAGACCCCTCAGTCCCTTCCCTCTGACTCCTAGGGGAGCTCAGGCGGCTCAGCTTGTCATGGGTGGTGGCTCTGAAAGGTTAAAACGGGGGTCTGCAGCCACTGGAATCACCACACTGACAGATTAGCTTTTACCTTTTGTAGCAACTGTTCATCTGGGTTTGTGGGTTTTTTGTCTATTGTATTGTTTTCATTGGTTCAATAACACACAACACGGTATTTTCAGCGTTTATATTTTGTGGGTCTTAACTGAAAACAAGTCAGAAACTGTAAAAAAAAAAAACCCCAACCTTTTTCAACAAGCAGCTTGTTTCATCATGTTTATCATCCCAATAAGAATAATATTTATTTGGGCAAAGCTCCCAAACACTGGGTTTTTGGAAATTGAGACTTCTAATAAGATGGAATGATGGAAACCAGGGTAGATCCTGAGATCATGGCTTGCAGGAGGGAATTCCAGACAGTTCCATTTAACAAATTTCAAGAGATAGTTTTAAATCCCACTAGATGGAAATACATTGAGTTAATTTAGGGCAAAATTGTACAGTGTTAAAACACTGCACTGGTAAAACTCTCATGGAAGTCAGCATGAGTTTTAATGACAGCAAGAAAAGGCTTTCTGTCTTCCATATGATTCCACTAGGATCAGCAGTTTTCAACCTTTCCCATTTTGTGATCCCACGTTACAAGAGAAAAAAAGTTTCCTGGTTCTCTCTCTCACCTACTCATGAAGAAAGGGAGGGTGGCTATGACCCTCAGCTTGAGCCACCATTTCTTAAATAAACCTAATTTAAGGCTTGACCCTACAGATTTGCTCATTGGAGTAAAAGACTTCCCACATGATTGAGTGTCACAGGATCAAACTCCTTAATTATTGTAACTTCCCACAAACTGAGACAGTAACTCTTCAGGGCATGTATTTGGCTAGGGAAGAGATCGTCATACACTAATAGCTCATTTTACCTCTCTACAGTGCCTAGAAAAAATTATGCAATAATCTTTGGGTCAAATCCTGCATTCCCTATGTCTGCAAATCTCCTATTGACTTCAAAGGGAACAGGATCAAAACTCAGAAGGTTTAGTCTGGAGTGGGAGTACAGGATTTGGCCTTCAAATGCCCATTGCAATTTAAGTCTTTGCTGTTTTCATAAGGGAAGGAGGGGGTGGTGTGGGCCTGGATACTAGCCCAGAAATTTGCTGCGCTTTATTCTCCTGCAATCATAAGGTGATGTTATCGGGATCATCCCAATATTAGGGTCTTTGTCTTATATGGGCAGCTATACCTCCCCCCAAAATCCCAATTTGTCACACTTGCTGTTGGTCACCCTAACTTCAGAGTCACGCTGCAACAGCAGACTCAGAGCACGTGCGCTGCTGCTGGGGAGGAGCTAGGAGACTGCCGGAAGGGATTAAGGGAAGGAAGGGGGCGGACCTTTGTGCCATTTTATCTTCCCGGGTCTCAGACCCTCTCAGCCAGCTACCGATGGTTGGACCTTGACAAGACCCTGCCTTAAACGTTCTTGCCTGTGATTGGTCTGCTTTGGTGTCAGTCAGCTCATGGGTGAAGTCAGCCCAGGGGAAGAGGTGAGTGAATTATCGGAGCAGCCGCCGCTAGAGAAGTGGTTCCAATGTGCGACGAGGGTCCGCGGTTCAGTGTCAAGGAGTACAGGTTTGCGGAAGAGCCGGACGAGCAAGAAAGAGAAGAGCCGAGACGAGAGCTGGTGGTGCTGATTCCTGAGGTGCTGATACATTTACACCTGTAGTCCTTCAGTTCGTTGTGAAGCCTGATTTCCTTCCTCCCCTAATCGGGGCCCAGGGGCCAGGAACGCTGAGCCATGTGGGGATGGAAAAGAGGGGCAGGATTTTTTATAAATATATAACAACAAAAAGGCCTAGATTTTGCATTCTTTTCCTGGATTTCTTTGTATCATTTGTTCTTATCTAGTCCAATAAATTCAGACCCACAATATGCCCCTGTATAGCAGAAATCACTGTATGTACAGCACCTTCTTAGCATAAGAGGCTCCAACCTAAATTGGGGCCTCTGGGCATTACTAGAAAAAATAAAGTGGGGGATGGGGACAGGACCTTCTAGGAAAGTTGAAAGTAAATTTTACAAATTGTTTGTTTGGCTCATAAGTGCACGTGTAGCTCTAGCACAGAATTCACTATTCTACTTTGCTGGATGCTTAAAGATGAAGTAGTAACACATTTATGTTCTGTAATGATCAAATAGTGGTTTTATTTTTGAATTTCTACATTCATTAAATTTGAACACATAGTTTCTAACTCCTGCAAAAATTTGAATTGATTGAAAATATTTTTTTTTAAATGGTAAAAATGTTGTTTGTGAGAATGCATTAAGAAAACTAAAACAAGAAACCTATTTAGTGCTCACTTGTTTAGAAGCCGTGCAAGTGAGCTGCCTTTTTGACAGTAAGTGTCTTAGGCCCCATCTATACAACTCAGTCAAATTTAGCTGTTGCTAAAATGCAGCATTTAACCCCTTTGTTCTGACCTGTGTAGACTCCTCCAAGCCATGTAATAAATAGGCTAAAACCCATTATTCAATCCCAGATAAACAATCATTGGTAAAACGAGGAGTCCCGTGGCACCTTAACGACTAACCAATTTATTTGGGCATAAGCTTTGAAGAAGTGGGTTTTTTATCCACGAAAGCTTATGCACAAATAAATTGGTTTGTCTTTAAGGTGCCACCGGACTCCTCGTTGTTTTTATGTATACAGACTAACACGGCTACCCCTCTGATACTTGGAATCATTGGTAAACTCATTTCTTTTGACTGTGTAGACACAGAGGGCCTTCATTTTTAAATTGTGAAGAACTGATATAGACAGAGATAATTGGGTCTAAAATGCTCTGAATCACCATATCTAGGCACAAATTGACTTTAACAGGAATTTTGCCTGAGTAAAGACTGCAGGAGAGATCTTTCACCAAGGAAAAATGGGATGAAATCAAGAAAATAAATCTAGGCTAAATTTCAGAATAAAAATTTAACAAAGATTCCCTTTGATCCTAAATTCCTTACTAATGTGTGCCTACCTATGCTCTTTTGCTGCAATAGGACTGCTTAGCTGAGTGAAAATTCCAGAACCAGACCATTAGATTGTGGAATAATATCCCAAAACAAGATGATAGAAGTGTCATTGCTTGATGTATTTCAAACTTGCACTGGTAAAGCACAAGACTGCATGCTTAAATCTTTACTAGTCTAGAAAAGTTAACCAGGAGGGTGAGGCAAGAGTCTTTGCTAATCAAGTGGGAAAGCTCTAGCCATGTGGAAAATAACTTAATTGTAGGGATGTACAATTTGTTTGAATTACATATGAGCAGAAAATAACAGTAGGTCAATTGAAGTAGGGATAGCTCAGGATCAGGCTCAAAATGAGTGACCAAAGCACGACTAGAGTAAAAATGCACTAATGTAATATTTTTCTGCCTCTTTCCAAGTGTTTTATGGTGCTGCCAAAGATCATAGAAGGGGCTTATTGTTTCAGGTCCTGGATTCCCAATATGGCATGTACGTTTGGCCCTGTGCTGTGGTTCTTGCTCAGTACCTATGGTTTCACAGAAGAATGCTACCTGGCAAGAGAATTTTGGAGGTAAAAGTAGTCTTGAAAGATTTTTGATCATACAAACTTACCTTTAAAAAAATTAGTAGGCTCATGGTTACTTGTCTTAACTCTCAATCAGTTTTAATTTTGATTTCTTTTTTTATTTAGGTAAGCTGCAGGATGCTTTTTTCCTATTTCTGCTTCAGTATTAATATAATTCTAAATGATCCTACTTCGTGATCTGCCTTTTGGCATTTATTTTCTGTTCTGCCCATGTGTCTTAAAATGGTCTAACCTCTGATCCAATTAATGTCAAAAAATTACTGTGGTAACTTTTGTGGTTGGAGATTCATGAAACAGTTTGCAAGTTCTTTTGGTCAAACACTGGAAAAATGCCCAAATACTCAAAGGAGTGATATAGTAAAACCATAATTAAAGAACATATTTTTGCAGGCTGATTTATGGAAGCAGCAGTTAGGAGCCATCGAAGGGGATTCCTGTTAAATATAAGTTTTGCTCATCTATGAACTGCAGGATTTATCTTTGTGAATAACATGTTTAAGCATGTAGGATTCCATCCACTTCACTATATTTACAAGAACAGAAACAAGTAAGATTCATGACATTCTTAAATTTATATCTGTGGTGTACCACTGCTGCTACAGATCAAATACAAATGTCTTTTCTCCTGAGCAAGGGCAGTTCAGAGGTGAACATGTAGTTTTAAAGTTACCATGAATTCAACTAAAGAATGGCATCATTAAACACTTTGAGGCAAGATACAGAATATACTCCCCCATCCTTCAGTTATCCTTTGCATTAAATATAATTTATGAATGAGATTAAAGTATTTTATTTTGTTTAGATTGGAGCAGGCACGAGCCTACCTGGTATAGTAGCTGCTAAATGTGGGGCTGAAGTGATACTGTCAGATACTGAAGAGCTGCCTCAGTGCTTGAAGAATTGTGAGCGAAGCTGTCGGATAAATAACCTTCTAGGGGTACACATTATAGGACTTACATGGGGCCAAATATCTCCCAATCTGATCTCTCTGCCTCAAGTAGACATTATTCTGGCCTCTGATGTATTTTTTGAACCAGAAGGTTAGTGACTACTCATAAGCAAATAAAATGTTATGAATGTATATAACAATAAGCTAGAGAAAGTAAAGAGTTAAGTGATGGTAATATTTAATTTAGTCATGGCAGTGTCGTCAACTCTACCTAGCAGGAAGTCACTAGACACACCCTGAAAAGTTGGTAGATGTAGCTGTTTTAAACACTCAAAAGGTGTCAAAACTGTAACCAAACAAAATTTCCAGACTTCAACCAAGGCTTAGGGCTTGTCTACACTGGCAATGCTCTCCCAGTGCTCTAAGAAACCCCACCTCAATGAGGGGTGTAGCTCTCAGCGCTGGGGCACTGTTTACACTGGCACGTTACCGTGCTGCAACTTGCGCTCAGGGGGGTGTTTTTCCACACCTGAGTGAGGAAGTTGCAGCGCTGTTAATTGGCAATATAGACAAGCCCTTAGTATACACACACACACACAGGCACATATGTCTCAAAATCATTCCCAAGCAGCTCAATAGCGTTAATAAAATCCTTTCCATGCTCTTCTTACTATATACTATTGCACACCAGAAGCAATAATAGTACACTGTCATCCTCAGGAGGGTGCCCTCTGCTCATTGGGAAGGAAACTGTAGCCTTCTGCTCACTGGGAAGGGCACACTGCAGCCCAGGCTGGCTGGGGTTGATTAATTGCAGCTGAACCACCCTTTCTTGCCAGCCTTGATTTGAACAGACAGGCTAGTGAAAGGGAGAGGCCAGACCCAGGGGGAAAGGGGGCATTCATCTGACCTGAACTCGCTGCTGCAGGGAGCCAAGAAAGTAGATTTTAAAACAAAAATCCACTAGCTGGACCCCCTCTTCCCCCCCCCCCCCCCACACTTCCAGGGTTTAATTTCTGGAAACAGCTGGGCAGCTAAGCCAGGGAAAGGAGTAAAGGGCAGCTGAAAGCAAGATAGCTTCATCTTTGATCGAAGAGTAAGGGCTTCATTCCTCGAGGTACAGTGCCCCACTGGGGCAGATGGCCTTGTCTCATCCCACCTTCCAAGAAGCCCTGGAATAGGATTCATTCTGATGACATGCTCAATTAAGACAATGATAGTGACTTGGTGTGCAACAGAATGTAGTGAGCCTGAAATGGATTTCATTAACACTGAGCTACTTATGAATGATTGACTATAGATATTGGTAACTTTTCTCTGAATGTCACTAATTTGCAGTGAAAGTTGCTAGATTTGGCACTGGTCACTTTGACACATTTTCTTGCTAGGGCAACCAAAATCACTAAATCTAGTGACAAAGTTGCTAAGTTGGCAACATGGTATTTCAGAGGGAAGCAAAAAAATTGTGACTAACACCAAGAAAACATTCCCTAATCAACTGTGAATTAATGCATGCTTGAAGAAAGTCACGGCTGTGTGTTTGACTTTAATAGTTGTGGGGGAACAAACTCATATCGTTATAGGTTCCATGAAGATAGATGAATATTACAACAAACATGGTCAAAAAAGCAAACAAAATATAAAGGGGATGAAAATACTGAAAGTTAATAGCTAACTTTACAGCTAGGAGCAATGGTGTTAGGACAACGGTTGTGTGTAAGACTTACTGAAAAACTATGCTCCAACCATAGGTGGTCTTAGACAATTGTAGCTTTCTGAAGTTATTCTAAGCATTAGTGCAGTGTTTGCCCAGGCATCTTTGAACATGCACATAACCAGATCAAATTGTTTATTTAAAACCTATACGCAGATTTTGAAGAGGTTATAACTACGGTGTACTTCTTGATGAAAAGGAACCCAGATGCTCAGTTCTGGACTACATATCAGGTCCGAAGGTAATTTCAGGAGAAACTAACTTGTGTGCATTTTGTCTTGAGGCTCCAAAGTCAGATGCAAAGGGCAGAGTTTTGACAAACAAGGCCTTAAACCAGTCAACAGAATAAGATAGAAACATATGGGTAGCTGTGTATTTAAGCTTTTTGTATTTTAAGTTTGTCACTCTTCTATAGTTACTGTGCTTGTTCATGCACAGTAGTTTAATGACAAAACAAGCACTGAATGAATCAAAACAATCCATCTGACATTTCTTTCCTTCAGTTCTGACTGGTCTATTGAAGCTTTGCTGTACAAATGGAAGTTGAAGAATATCCACGTTCCCTTATGGTCTTTTAATGCTGACAAGGAACAGTTGGCTACCTCTCTGCTCCCAGGAAGACATACCATTGAAATGATGATCATCTCACTAGCAGGAGCAAGCTACACTTCAGTTTCTACCAGTTGCTGATTCTAATTCAAGGAAGTACCTTAGAAAACTGACTGCACTCCACTTCAAGCAAGTTTTGGATAAACAGCATTTCCATTTGTTTGGAGAAATTAATGCTACTTGATCAAGAGGCAGGGAAAATGTTTGCTTACCACAAAACAGAATGCATTTCCTCCACAGATCTATGCTACTAAAGTCATTTATCATACCCCTAAATGGCTTTAGTGTAATTCTTGTGAAACCAGGTATACTAATTAGTACTATTTTAAGCAGAATTTCATCTTATCTTGCATTGTATGAATAAGATCTGTTGAAAGTGTTTGGTTATGCCTTTCTTCTAAAGAGTTGTGTTCACACCTAGAGAATAAAATTAAGAGGATTTTTACATCTACTTTAATTGCATCACAGGTATAGGAGAAAGACAAACAGTGAAATTCTGGCAAAACATTCATGTCTACATACTCTAGCTTACCCTGCTGACTATTTATAATGGCCAGGTTGTGATTTTCTTCAAAGTTCAAGTTAGGAACTTGACTATTACATGTTCAGCCTGAAAGTTACTATTTCTTACCTGTTTTCCAGTTTAAGAGCTAAACATAGTGTACTAACAATTTAACTAAGGATCTGAACAATGTTCATTTTATGCAGTTACCCTTTCTGTATTTAATAACAAGATGTAATTATGTGAATAGTAAGATTTTCCTGGAACAAAGTTCTAGTTTAGTGGGTCACAATTTACTTTAGACATCTTAGTATTAGATACAGATACTAATTTTTAGGGCATCTACACAAAGTTAATTCCATTGTTGACATTTGTTCTAGAACAAGTGCACCTTGTTTCTATTTAGAATAAACACTTTCAAGACTGCATTAACTTTAAAAGTTTAGACAAGCCCGCTGATACTCATATCCCTGTTAAGTCTGAAGATTAGGTAATCAAGACTTTTCATTAGATGTGCACTGAGGCAGCATTTTGATGAACAGATGGTTTTCTACATAGTGCTTGCAGGCTGCAATTACAACTCCATTGGTGTCTAGCTCAAAAATACTACCATTACTTCTCACAAGATTAGCTACCTTCACTTTTAAGCTGGCACAAAGGCAAATCCAACAAGTACTGTTTTTCATCACTTGTTCTTTTAACAAACAGGACTTCAAGCAACCAGGTCTGCCACTTGGCACCTTGCCTAAGCAGTCAATATTTAAGGTTTGTATTGTTCAAAAAGAAACATTTGTTACTAAGATGATATACTAAACTAGTATTGAAACAGCTACTCCCTCTTGATACAATTTAAAAGCAATGGACAGTAATAAATTACTGAAGAGAAGTTAAACATTCACAATATAATTGCTGAGATCTTTATAAGCTAAAAATAAATGTTGACTCAGACATTAGATTGAGAAAAGTTAACACCAAGAAAAATGTTTAATAGTAACTACAGGGACAGTGGTTATAGTACATAATGTCATAAGCAAAAGATACACCAATCAGTACTTACAAAGGAATGAAACATTTGCTCTTAACATTACATTTCTTATATGCAAGTTCATAAAAGAAGATGGTAAGATTTACCATTCTGGAAAAAATAAGGTGTGTATATCATCAGCTAGATGTGCTCACTGTATGCTCCATTATTTTTATGCAAGGCCCGGGTGACTGGAAGTGCAGTTGTCAGGCATTTTAATTAACTGGACAGCCATTTGTTTCTGCACGACAAGGCATCGTTACACAGGAGCAATCAGGAGAAAACAGGAAACAGCCAAGCACTCTGCACTGCAACACGCCACCTTAACAGCTAACCAGCATTACTCAACTGCTACACAACTGCGCCTAGTGCACAAAAATACATAAGAGAAGAGATTAGAATTGAGTCTGATAAAACAATCCTTTCAAAAATCAACTGTCACCTGAAAAGTTTTATACAAATTTGGAATAGACGATACTATTTAAATTCAAAGCAAATAGCATTTACAAGAAGTTTACATCCGAAGAAGTTTTGCAGAATTTTATTTAAGGAATGAAGGCAAATTGAGAACACTTCCTTGACAGTCAGCTACTCGGCATGTAATGGCTGCATGTTTCCGCAACATGAAACTTGAGGCAACAAATTAAGTTACCATCAGTTTTTTTTTTTTTTTTTTAAAGTCAAACAAAAGCCAGCACTATATAAACAAAAATGAAAATTTACCTCAAATATCCAAGCCAATAATGAAATCGGTAGTCGTTCACTTCACTAAATTACAAGAAATTTGAATAACAGCAACAAAATGGCACATAAAATGTAAAGTCTGCCATTTGAGGCTCAACTTAAACAAGTAAAAAGTTAGACAAAAATGTTACAAAATAACCTTTTCAACAGCTGGTTGCTTGTGCCTGGGGTCTCTCCAATGGACTGAAGATTCATAGGATCTTTTTCCCCCAGAGGCGTCCTTTATGTAGATTTCTCATTTATCTGATGCATCTAGGTTTGAAGAGAGAACAGTTCAGCCACATTTCCACCATGCACCTTCCCAATTACGTGGATGACTTCAAGTATGCTTCTGGTTGTGATTCAACTGGCCTTGCCTAATTTAATTAAGTTTTATTAAGGATTATGTGTAGTGCTTCACCTCCCCCCATTTGTCACCACATTACCTCTAATTCAAAGGCCAAATTTGAAATTCAAAGATGATAGCGAAGAAGTATTTAATAGTCACATTAGTTTAAACTGAGTTAGTGAAGAGCAAGCATCAGGCTGTAAATCATACACTTAACTTGAATTCAGCCCATATAAGAAGTTATAGAAACTAATATTTTTTGTAATACTTAAAGACTTAATTTTATCTTCCAACTGGCATTCAATACAATCTGAGACAGTATCATTAATTTTAACATACAATTATTTAACCTTACAGCTATCTTAGGCCCATTTCCATTTTAAAAACAGGACCAAACAGTTTGAGGGGTTAAAGACACACTATCCTTTCCCCACCCAGTATATCCTTAGAAGCCTCTAAAGTTCATTTGAGGAAAAACTAGTTTCCATTTTATTGCATTGCATTTGCCACTTTTATAAGAACTTTTTTTTACCTCCAGTCAGTGCAATGACCACTGAACTGATGTTCCATTTTATAAAAGGATAGTGTATCTTTAACTTTTAAAGACAAACCTGCTCCAATACACGCCCACAGAAACTGGTCCCTGGAGGATCAGCCAAATCAGTTAAAATCTGCAATACTGGCCAATATTCTTTTAGCAAACAGGAGACCGCAGCTTTAAAGGGGAAAATGCAGATGTTGGATAAAAAACAGCAAGAAATAGTCATTTTCATTAATAGGTTGCGTCTCATACAATATTTCATTAAAACCAAACCATTAATCTCTCAACAAAACATAAAAATATGTCCTCTGCAAAAATTTATTTCCCTAGCCAAATAACTGAAAAGTCTGCTCAAAAAGCTAACAGTGTCTCCCATTACGAGTCACTTGATTCAGGTTGTTAATATGGTAAGAACTACCCCGATACACCCCACTTAAGGGCTATTATGAAGTAACATGCAAATTGCATACAGTTCCAGCTACATTACCATTTTCCTAAGAGGATACAGCTCCTTCCTCTTCGGGAGATTTGGGGGGGCTCTTAGACCTGGATCTGGATTTAGATTCCCTCTTTGAGACTGGTGGGGGACTTCTAGACCTGGATCTGGACCTCGACCTGGATCGGGATCTGGAGACGGATGACGACTTGGATTTGGATCTCCTGGCAGACCTAGACTTAGAGGTCGAGCGAGATCGCGAGCGTGTGCGGGATCTGGACTTGGACCGACTGTAGCGGGATCGACTGCGGGACCTAGAGCGGCTCCTGCTCCTGGATCGGCTACGGCGGCGTCTTCTGGGGCTAGAACGTTAAAATCACTCGGTTAGACGTGAAAAAGGCGTGTTGCACTGGGCTAGTCAGGGTGGAAGTGGAACAAGTCTCCCCCCTGCGGCGGTTACAAGACGTCATTACTCCGAGGAAGCGGCCTGGGGCTGAGCCTACCATCCACCCCCGAACACTCCCGGCCGCCATGGACACCACGTGGCTCTGTAAGCCTGCGTTTTCGCGCCGATCCTGCCTTCCCAGCCATGAAACACCCTCCTCCATCGCGTCACATAGGGGCCACTGCTTCCCCCAGGCTGTACCTCCGCTGCCCCCCCAAACCCATGGTTCCCACCCTCAGCCCTGCGCCTCCCAAGTCCTCTATAGCCCCGGGAAAGCAGCCTTCTGCCCCTCCCCCCACCTAACACTCCTGCCTTGCTGGGCTCTCACCTGCGGCTGCGGCGTCCGTAGCCGCCACCTCCGTATCGGCGCGGCGGCGGCCCCCGGCGGCTGTGATGGGAGTCCGGGGGCCTCCCGTAACGGGCCATCTGGACGCGGAGCTCTCGGCCGTCCAGCACTGCGCCGTCCATGGCGTCCATCGCATCCTCGGCATCGCGCTTGTCGTGGAAGCGGACGAAGGCAAAGCCGCGGCTCTCCTTGGTGTAGCGGTCCCGGGGGATGTAGACGTCCCCCACCCGCCCGTACTTTTCGAAGACGCGTCTTAGCGTGTCTGGAGACGTGCGATAGGTCAGGTTATCCACCTTCAGGGAAGTCATGCCCTCCACATCAGGCGGGGGGCGCCCGTAGCTCATGGCGGGCAGAGGCCCCCGAGGGGCGGCGGGACTGAGGAGAGAAACCTGGCGAACAGATCAGGAGAGTCGGTACCGGATCTGGCCTGGGAGGCCCCTGAAGGCAGGGAATAGACGCCGAAGCGGGCCCCGACCTTTAGGCCACAAAGGTGGAAAGCTACAGGCCGTGTAATGAGATCGCAGAAGATTCACGGGCTCCGTGGAGGCGACAGACGGGCACCCAGCCCGGGGATCGGCGGCCAAGAAGGGGGAAGGGCAAATGCAGCGCAGCGGCCACCCGCCTCTCACCACTGCTACTAGCAAATGAGCGAGGTAGAGTCCGCGCCCTCCTACTTAACGCCACAAAATGGCCGCTTCTGACCCGGAAGGGAAGCGGGTCCGCGCGCGCGACCGCCGGGCTCTCTCCGTAACCGACGTTTTTTTCACCCCTTCGCGCGTTTTACAGAAGCGGCCGAGAAACATCCGTGGCGAGTCCGCCTCTAAATAAATATTTCGACGATCCTAGAAAGTGGCCGTTGGGGCGGCCGGGCCGTGACCCCGGAAGGGATTGGCTGAGGCGGGGAAATTTTGAATGAAATGTGGCCCGAAAATCGGGACAAAGATCGAGGGTGAATGTTCGTCCCTTTGGGAAAGGAGAAAAAAACCCATACAACGTGAAATTTCTGGGAGGAGCATCCCGTGGCGAAGCAGGGGGGAGTAGTTGATGAAAGAAACGAGTCAAAATGGCGGACGATCAGCAGAAAGGGCTGGTGGGTGTGAGGGGGAGGGAAGGTGCGAGCCAGGCCTTGTCATGTGTGAGTGACAGGGCCAGAAACATAGGCACAGGCGGGAGGGAGCTGTAACAAAGTTAGATACAAGCTGGACACGACATTCACCAGTATCGTGGGCTGATCAGTTAGGAACCTCTCACTTCAGCGATGCTGGGGAGGGCACTTTCCCCTCCCCCCATGCACCCTGTAGGCCCGTGCTCACCCCCTCATGTGGGATGGGAACCATGTCCTGTGCTCCTCACAGGCACACCCACACGCTGCTGTTGTGCTGGTCAGTCCCCATTAAAGTCCCATTTCCCCCCCACACCTGCATCGCCACAATATGGGGTCAGTGCATGAAGCCCCCCACTCGCCCTGCCGTGGTGCAGCGGATGCTAGGTGAAGGCACTACACGTAGGCACTTCCTTTTCACCCTGCATTCACGCCCACCTAGGTGCAAAAGGTCATTTTAAACCCCCCATCCCAAATCCACACGGGGGGGAGGACACACAACCTGAAGGCCTCAGCACATCCGTGCACATCTGCTCTGCTATTGTAAGGCCAGCATGAAGCCTTATGTCAAGCTGCCATGTGCTGCAAGTGTAGTGTCAGGGCATTGTGTGAAACTCCTTCCCTTTCTCTCTCCTGCAAAACACACACTCCCTGCAACTATGCTGGGGTGTCCCATGCAAGTGCCACACCCCCCCCCCCAAAAGTGCTGGAGGCAGTTTGTGAAAGTAGCACTCCCTCCCAAATACATCCCACCACTTTGCTTGGGGTGCCACATGAAAGCTCCCCACATTTACACACATTTTTCATCCTGTGGTTGGGAATGCTGCCCACAAGCCCCTCACACATATATACATTGCCACACTATTGGGGACATGGTGTGTAAAAGCGCCACAAACATTCATGCACTTCCATAGTGCTGGGAGTGCCATGTGAACTCTCCATGCATGTATACACCCTCTCCAGCAATGTGAAAGCTTCCCAAGGATACCTCAGCATATTGCTTGGAGTGCTGTGGAAAAGCCCTTATACGTGATCTGTGACAGTGTTGCTGGTGCTGTGTGAAAGCTTACATGCACATTGCCAAGGTTTTGGGGTGCCATGAAAGCTGCATAAGCATACGCATGCTGCCATGTTACTGCTGGCATCGTATAAAAACCTCCCTGAAGCTAAGGCATGGATATCACCTCTCAATGGCTTCCACATCTACTCCAAGATGCTAGGACATCACATATACACTTCAGTGGCACAAAAGACTGCTAGCATTTTTCTTCAGATTTCCCACTGCTGCACTGCCACAGTGTAGCTCCACTAGTGGGATTGTAGCAATAGTGGGAGTACTAGGGTAGACTGGCATTTGGAATTGTTACTTTTCTGTTGTCTACGCCTGCTCAAACTGGTGTAGAGATACAATCAGCCAATCCATACTAGCACTGTGACCATACTCCACTAGCCAATGGTGCAATACCAGTGTTAGTGTGATAGTGGGAAATTTGACCTTGTCTACACTGTTTTCTTCAATGATACTAGTCAAATAATAATAATTAATTAATAATAATAACTAATTATTATGTAGCTCATTACTAAAGGTTTATGATTGTGTTCTTCATAAATTACTTTGTTTAAAAAGAAAATAAACGGAAAGGAAGAAGAGACTGCATTTCCAGAGATCTCTCTTTAACTGGAATTACAGTGTGAACGAGAGATTTCTAAAAGCTAATACACCCCTAGCCCAATATAACGCTGTCCTCGGGAGCCAAAAAATCTTACCGCGTTATAGGTGAAACCGCGTTATATCGAACTTGCTTTGATCCACCGGAGTGTGCAGCCCCCCTGCTCCTCCGGAGCGCTGCTTTACCGCTTTATATCCGAATTCGTGTTATATTGGGTCGTGTTATATCGGGGTAGAGGTGTAGTTAGATTTTACTTTTTGTTCTTAGTGTAATGCTTTGTTTAATAAATATTTTGCTCAATAGTGAAAATAACATATAACAAGAAGCAATAATGTTGATATAAAAACAAGAAGCAAGGTATTTCCTGCATGAGTAATCTAAATTAAGGAAATAATGTCTCACTTCTTGTTTTTATTTCTGTTTTGTTGCTTCTTGTTATTTATTCATTTCACATAGAACAGTGAGATTTAAAATTTCTCTTTGAATCGCACCACAAAAAATCCTTCATATCAGGAGAGATTTAAAAATCTGCTTTACAGCGAATCCCTCAAAATGGTAGAGGGAGTCTCCCTCCTATGTCTCTTAGAAATCTCCTGTTGTAAGTGTTCATAATGTAGAAACTGGGCGGAAAGAGCTATTCTTCCCAAGTACATAACCAAGGCCTTCTTCTGCAGTGTGATCCACGCAGGCATCCCCTTGAGCCCTGGCTCTTTTATTCCAAGTCAATACTCATAAGAGTAGTGTTACTGACTTGCATAAGTAACAACAAAGCTCTAGTTTCAAATAAAATCCTGTATAATTTTGTAAAATACTAGCTGAGCAATCTTTAAAATATTGAATAATATATTGTTTTTGGCTGTTGTTGGAATGGTAACTTCTGGATAAGCCTTTCAGGGCAGGACATAATGGTGGGTGAAACTGGGACTCCACTGAAGTCCATGGGAGTTTTGTCATTGACTTCAACTGGGCCAGTTTTGCCCTATGTCTTTGTATGTATTTGTGCAGCAGTTAGCACAGTGGTTCTCAAACTTTTGTACTGGTGACCCCTTTCACATAGCAAGCCTCTGAGTGCGACCAACCTTATAAATTAAAAACACTTTTAAATATATTTAACACCATTATAAATGTTGGAGGCAAAGCAGGATTTAGGGTGGAGGCTGACAGCTCATGACCCCCCATGTAATAACCTTGCGACCCCCTGAGGGGTCCAGACCCCCAGTTTGAGAACCCCTGAGTTAGCTCAATCCTCACTGGTCTCTGGGTACTCTTCTAATACAAGTGCTAAATAATAATAGCAGGAAGTGGGGGTAGACTTAATATGAGATGTCTGACTTTCTTTTTCTGCTTTACTCACTTTTTAAAATAGGGATCTTCTGATCTTGAGGATTACTTATTTAAAAAAAATTACAAAACTCAATACATAAATATATTAGCAATTAAATAATAGGTTTTATGTTGGAAGGATTTCAAGGCAAAATATTGAGTGATTGTAGAGGCAGCTGTTTCACTTCCTTTTCAGAGTGAATGAGCGACAGACGGAAACAGTGAGAGAGACTGTGCATGTGTGTCAGTGACAATGAAATATTTCCTTTCCTTTCTTTTCTGCTGTGTTTACTGAAAGGACCCCCTGAGCTTTTCAGTCTTCATTTATGAATGCTTTTTGCGTGACTGAAAGCAGTAGGTGACAGTTTTCTTAAAAGACTTTCTGAGAGATTTGGTTTCTTGCCCAAAGTATTATCGTCTAAAGGTTACAGAATATTATTTACAGTAACCACAAACATACTATTGTTATTTTAAGTAATATTGTAGATGTACACTTTTTTTAAGTCGTAGAAATGCTGAAACTGCATTTCCCAGAGTGCACGAGGGTGTTCTAGCCTGATCAGTCAGCTGACCTGGATTGTGAAATATTCCTTATTTCCTGTTCAGCATGAATGGACATGGCTTGTGTTTATGAGTGTCTTTTCTTTCCTTTGTCAGGTGATTTAATGTCTTTTGACTAAAATCTGATTCAGAGCAATGGTGGCGAGGAAGTGAGCTGATTTACTAACTTAGCGGGTGGGAAACTACTTCTAGGGCGAAGGGATGTCATGAAGAAATAATATACTGCACTCTGCATATCTTCATATGAAAGGATCTGAATAATCTTCACAACTCGTACTAAACCTTTGACTTGTTTTTTTTCCAGTGTTGTTGTTTTTTTCTTTATTTTATTTACAGTGGAGACTAGACCTCTTGGCTTGCCAGTGAATACTTCCTAACACTTAACAATTAGTTTAAAATAACTTTTGTTTGTGAAGGGTTTTTTTCTTGGTTTTTTTTTTTTTTTTTTTTTTGGCAGAACTTAAAAGGGAGCTTTAAAAGGAAAATAGAACTTCTCCGGACTGAAGAGGAAAACTTCCTAAGAAAAAACAAAATGTCTCCTAAATCGAAAAAGCTTTTTAACATAATTATGTTAGGAGTTGCTTTTATGTTTATGTTTACTGCCTTCCAAACGTGTGGAAATGTTGCGGTAAGTGCAAATATCAAAACACTCCACATCCTCACCTTTCTTTCTGACATCCCAATTTTAAGGGTTGTTTTGTTTAGGGATCTAAGATGCATCATAGCATTACATTTTATCTTTTTGTGTTTCTCTTGATTTAGTATTTGCACAGGTACTTAAGTAATCTGTTTCTTTAAGAGAGTATAGCAGTGAAACAGTAATGGTATGAGACAACCCATGGTTGCTTAGAAAAAAATTAAGTTAATTAAACACATTCAGCTTAATAATATCTGTTCTGGCAATTATCTGTCCAGCAATTGAATTAAACTGGATCTTGTCATGTTTCTGAGCTTTTTTATAATTTCGCTTTAAAACATATGACCAGGATGCTATTATTTATAACTTTGTCACCTAATTTCTCCTGGTTAATTAATCTTCCTTAATCTCACATTTTCACTGTGTAATGACAAACTGGAGATTGAAGGGGTATGAATACAGTATCTGGCAAGTGGTCATACTGTCACAACTGACACTGCCAAGTCACTTTACATCTCACTAAATAATTTACTGCTAGTCTCTCTCTCCTTTACTGCAGGCAAATTGGACATAAAAATAATTAAATTTATCCTTAAAAGTAGACTGCCCTTTTATTACTTTTATTATTATAATCCTGTGTTTTCTATATTTAGAGACTCTCTTTTCTTATTTTCAGGAGGAATTCCTGTTTGTAGATGTATAAAGGTTGCTTTACCATGTTGTATGGTTAATTTATAGTAGAGGAGGCTGATCTTGTGACTAAAGCACAGGACAGAGAGTTTGGAAATAGAGGTTCAATTCGTGATTGCTACAGAGCATGCCCATGGCTCAGTTTCCATTTCTGTAAAAATGGGGCTCATACTGCTTTACATTAAAGAGATGTTGGGAGGCTTAATTTGTTAATGTCTGTTAAATACTTTGAGATCTAAAGGCATTATAGAATCACAAAATACTAATTATTGTTTCAAATGGACAGCTTCACCCCAAGCATCTTTGTGGGGCGAACTTTTATAAATAAAAGCTGTATACAGTGTTGTTGTAGCCATGTTAGTCCCAGGATATTAGGCTACAAGATGCACAGTGTAGCCACTCTTTGTTGGCAGGAGAGAGCTCTCCCACCAACAAAAAACTTCCACCCCCAACGAGCGGCGACAGTAGCTTTGTCAGCAGGAGAGCTCTTCTGCCAATAAAGCGCTGTTCACACCGGTGCTTTTTAATCGGTAAAACTTTTGTTGTTTGGGTGTGTGTGTGTGTTTTTTTCACACCCCTGAACAACAAAAATTTTACCGACAAAAGTCCAGTGTAGACAAAGCCTTAGAGAGACAAGGTAAGTGAGGTAATATCTTTTATTGGACCAACTTCTGTTGATGAGAGAGAGTTTGTCCAATAAAAGATACTACCTCACCCACCTTGTCTCTCATAAATAAAAGTGTCTGCAAGCAATACTCATTGTCTGGCAGTGAATGAATCAGGACTGAGGTTCCATAGTTCAAATTGCAGTTGCCCCGTGACCAAACCAGCATACCAGAAAACCAATAGACAGAGGGAGAGTGTAGGAAGGAAGGCCTAGGTCAGTGGTTCTCAAACTTTTGTACTGGTGACACCTTTCACATAGCAAGCCTCTGAGTGCGACCCCCCCTTATAAATTAAAAACACTTTAAAATATGTTAACCCTATTATAAATGCTGGAGGCAAAGCAGGGTTTGGGATGGAGGCTGACAGCTTGCGACCCTTCCATGTAATAACCTCACGAACCTCTGAGGGGGGGTCCCGACCCCCAGTTTGAGAACCCCTGGCCTATATCCACAAAGGGACTTAGTCCCAGATCCTTCTAAGGTATTTAAGCACCCTAACTTCTATTGCAATCAACAGAAGTTGGGAGCCTAAAAACCTTTGAGGTTCAGGGCCTTAGGCTGTAATTACCGGTAATAAATGTTGTTTTCAAAGGCTTGTGTACTGCTCATTTGAAAAGAGAAAGAAGTGTAGAGTAATTAGAAAAGCGGATGGGAGTCAGAATTTTTTATGTCAAGTCCTTGACTCTGTCACTGAATCTGAACAAGCTGCAGTTTAGTTTCCCTGACTGTACAATGGGTGTAATAGTTACTTCCTCACATAGTTTTACAAGGTATAACGGCCATTTCTAAACTACTTTTCGTTCCTTGGGTATTGTTATTAACAATCAGTTCTAATTTTGCTCTTATGCTAATCTGTCTGTAGTTTTCAGATTTTAAAAAAAGTATAAAATGTATTTTCTGTATTATTATTTATAATTTTCTCTACACAGCAAACTGTTATCACAAATTTAAACAACACAAATTTTCATGGCAGTGGCTATACCAGGTAATTTACAATGATATTTTTGTCCTTTTGTTACTTTAAGAGGCATAGCTAGTCTTAGTGAAATCTTATAGGGACATGGTCTTAGGTGATTGTATTTTTCTGCTGAACTTCCACATTAAAAACAAAATTATGTTATTATACTTAAACACAGCTTACTGGTAATTTTACACATAGATCTTCCTATTTAAATGAACCACATTCATGTTTTGCACTTTTTCCGTGTAGGGAGAAACAATGCCATGCTTTGCTTTTTATCTCAGGTCATGCAGTCTGTGGTGAAATTATTGAAAAGTAAAGCAGCTAGCTAAGGCGTTGATCCTACAAACTTGGACCTTTGTACCCACATAGAGCACAGGGTCTGCCTGTGCAGATCAGCTTGCAGGAGAGATTTCAACAGTCACATGGAAGGGGACACTCCGAATGATAGGAGGATCATCAGGGTATCAGAGCTGTGGAAACCATTTTTTTTAATGTTTATTGTATTGTCATAGCAACCAAAGTCCCCAATCATGATCAGGGGTCTGTTGTGCTAGGACTGTGCAATCATTTAGGAAGACTTGGTCGCTGCCCTCAAGAGTTTACAATCTAATTTAAGATAAGGTGCAACAAACAAGGGTAAATAACAATAGAAGGGAAAGAGGGGCTAGAATAATAAGATCATGCAGTTACATAGGCTAGGCGATATGTTTGATGTAATAGTTTTGAATCATTTGAAAATTTTCCTTAAATAAATAAAATAGGCTACACTAGCCAATGCTCTTGAATTTCATTTGAAATGCTTATTCATCTTTATTATTTATTTGTGTAGCATGGCCATTATTTATGGGGTGTTCTCTGCATCAAATCTTATTTCACCTTCAGTGGTTGCTGTAGTGGGACCGCAGTTATCCATGTTTGTTAGCGGTCTATTTTACAGGTAAGTAATTCATTTAAATCTATAGTTTCTGCTTTCTATGCATCTCCTCCCTTTATTTCACCTCCAAAAGGTATCATGTCATGCACGAAATTGTACTGGCTGAGGAGGGCAGGGTTTGGCTTCTTGCAATGATATCAGTGTTGATCTTGAGTCACTTGGAATGTCACTTCAGAGCACTCCCTCCCCCAGAGACAGTGACCATGTTATTTCCACAGCATTGGCAGGTCTGGCTGACCTTGGAGTAAAGAACCAAGATCAGGCCTCAGTCTAATGACTGTATTAGAAAAATAGCATTATATGTTTAGGGTAATAAAAAACTGTTTTGTTTCAAATCTTATTGACTTGGAGTCTTTTCAAAATGAGCTTAGCAATAAGTACTTGATTTAGAGGAAGCTAAAATGCAAATCTGATTGTTAAAAAAGCATAATCAGCATAACATTGCCCACATTAAATTTGAATATAATTCATTGTTATATTTTAGCATATACATTGCGGTTTTTATCCAGCCTTTCACATGGTCCTTCTACACTGCTTCTGTTTTCATTGGGATAGCAGCTGCTGGTAAGTATTGCACTTAGTGTTTATCTGCTTGTACTTCTTCACTACATTTCTCTCTCAACTATTTTTCCTCCTTTCTCAGCAACTTTTTTACTTGAATTTCAGTACTTTGGACTGCACAGGGAAATTGCCTGACGATAAATTCAGATGAAAACACTATTGGGAGAAACAGTGGAATCTTCTGGGCACTTTTACAGTCCAGGTAACTTTCCTTTATTAAATCTTTCCCTTTGGTTACACGCACCCTGTACTTGCTGTGTTGTTCAGTGAGGGTGCAAGGGAGACTTTTTTCTCAGACAGTACTTCAGAGTGATGCTCCACAGACTATGAAACGAAAGGAAAAGCTGGAGGTGACGTTGCTGATATTGAGCAATGCTTAATGGTAAATAGGAGTTATATATGGCAGGTCTTTCCTCCCTAAAGCTAATGTCATTTCTGATATCTTGGATCCCTTTGAAATGTAGAGCTGGCCTTATGAACGTGAATCCTCAATTTTGTTTTACATTTCTATGGGGCTAGCCGTTTGACTTTGACAGTGTGAGGACAGGCACCCTCTGTCTCTTTCACATTTACACCATATTCTTTTATATATAATTTGTTACCATAATAAATACTATATTCCTGTGTTATCCCTCTTTTGTTTGCAGCTTGTTTTTTGGAAATCTTTATATATACTTTGCTTGGCGTGGGAAAACTCACATATCAGGTTTGTATTACTTGCTTTGTGTGTAGAATACTTTGATGTATCATAATGTATGAAAAAATGGATAAAATAATGAAGTAGGAAGCAGCCATAGGCTATGTCTACCTTACGGACCGTACAGCAGCACAGCTGTACTGTGTTGCTGTAAGGTCTCCTGTGTAGTCCCTCTATGCCGGCGGGAGAGAGCTCCCCCGCTGGCATAATTAAACCACCCCCAACCCAAGTATCAGAGGGGGTAGCCGTGTTAGTCTGGATGTGTAAAAAGCAACAGAGGGTCCTGTGGCACCTTTAAGACTAACAGATGTATTGGAGCATAAGCTTTCGTGGGTGAATGCCCACTTTGTCAGGTCTCAGATGCTCTGTGTGGAGCCTTACAGCTTAGACCACCTATCACTTTCTTCACTGAATATGAGGGCACTTTACTCCAAGTTCTGATAGTTTTGGAAGGCTCCAGCCACAATATTAATTATAATTCAAACAAGATATTAACCTTGATGATCTGTATCAAGACAGGGACACTGAGGGTTTGTCTGCACCAGGATATTATTCTGGAACAGGTAGGATGTGAATTTAAAGTGTAATAGCTATTCCAGAACAGCTCCCCATGTGGACATTCTTATTCCAGAATCAGGAGGTAACCATGTTAGTCTGTATCCACAAAAACAACAAGGAGTCTGGTGGCACCTTAAAGACTAACAGATTTATTTGGGCATAAGCTTTCGTAGGTAAAAAACTTCACTTCTTCAGATGCATGGAGTGCATCTGTAACTTTCACTCCATGCATCTGAAGAAGTGAGGTTTTTTTACCCATGAAAGTTATGCCCAAATAAATCTGTTAGTCTTTAAGGTGCCACCGGACTCCTTGTTGTTTTTATTCAAGAATAAAAGTCTTCACATGGGAAGCTATTATGGAATTCTGCAATACACTATTCTGATGAATTTCCCTCTGTACACGAGCCCTAAAAGCAGGCAAAAGGAACAGCAGCCAGGAATACTGAAGATATTCACAGCTCTTGTATCACATGGCTTTACATACTAAGGCTACGTCTACACTACACAGCTTTCAGCGACACAGCTATGGCGCTACAGCCGTGCTGCTAAAAGGTGCACAGTATAGGCGCTGTTTGTTGGCAGGAGAGAGCTCTCCCGCCAACAAATAACTTCCACCCCCAATGAGCGGCATTAGCGTTGTTGGCAGGAGAGCACTCCTGACTACAAAGCGCTGTTCACACCAGCACTTGAAATCAACAAAACTTTTGTCTTTCGTGTGTGTGTGTGTATGTGTGTTTTTTTAACACCTCTGAATGACAAAAGTTTTGTCTTTCAATTGCCAGTGTAGACAAAGCCTAAAACTAAAATACTCCCCAGAAAACAAATACAAATTTTACCTACTGTTCCCTGTGTTTCTAGTTGTCACAACTATGGCTATGTCTACACTAGCACTTTTGTCGGTCAGGGGTGTGCAAAAAACATCCCCTAACTGAGAAAAGTTTCACGGACAAAAAATGGCAGTGTGGACAGCATTATGTTGGTGGGAGAGCATCTCCAGCCAACATAACTACTGCCACTTGGGTTGGGGTCCTGTGGCACCTTTAAGACTAACAGATGTATTGGAGCATAAGCTTTCGTGGGTGAATGCCCACTTCATCAGACAAATCTGTTAGTCTTTAAGGTGCCACCAGACTCCTTGTTGTTTTTGTGGATACAGACTAACATGGTTACCTCCTGATTCTGGAATAAGAATGTCCACATGGGGAGCTGTTCTGGAATAGCTATTACAGTTTAAATTCACATCCTACCTGTGCCAGAATAATATCCTGGTGCAGACAAACCCTCAGTGTCCCTGTCTTGATACAGATCATCAAGGTTAATTTCTTGTTTGAATTATAATTAATATTGTGGCTGGAGCCTTCCAAAACTATCAGAACTTGGAGTAAAGTGCCCTCATATTCAGTGAAGAAAGTGATAGGTGGTCTAAGCTGTAGGGCTCCACACAGAGCATCTGAGACCTGAGTTGCTGTAAAAAGGTGGAGGCAGGGACTGATATGTGGGTAGTGGTTGTCAACTAAGAAAAAAAACAGAATTGTAATACTAAATGGAGCTGATGATCCTGTTGTAAGGTGAATATGAGGAGGAGGGTTTCCTATATTATGTACTAAAAAAGAACTCAAAATATCTGATAGACCATTCAACTATTCACATCTTTAAAACATGAAGCCTTGTCCCTGTAAGACATCCTTCCAAATAAATGGAATTTTCAACCTCATTGGATAAACGTTTTAGGAGGATGTTTCTGCTAAAGACAATTAGGAATGAAATGTTGACTTTTAAATAATCATCTCAGACTTCGGAGTTAGCACCCTCTTGTGCTGAACACGGCAGTTCACAGCTCTGCTACTGTACTATTGATTCAGGCTCTCTGCAGACTGAGTAGCACAGCCTAGATAAAAAAATAAATAAATTCAAACATCCAAAAATTAAAGCAAAAGCTTAAATTCTGCCAAAACTGTAAATCTATGGAATCTGAAATTATATGTTTCCTGATTTATATTGCTTCTGCTAATCACCTCAGATTACAGCGTTTAACAGAACTCACATTGAAGTTTTCCTTTACCTTTAAGTGAATTAAAGTCCCTTGAAGCATGTTGAAACAATTTAGGAGTCTCCTTCCATTTCATTATAAGGTGAATGTTCCTACATTTGAACATCAGTCCCCCCTTGCCACGCTTTATTTCAGGTTCCCACAAGAGCTGTTTGCACATGCACATAAAAGACTATTTTTAAAACTATACACACACAGACACATTGTTATTGATTTGGAATTTTACAGTTTTTTTTTAAATGTATTTTAAAACTTTTCTGTTCACCTTTAAGCCATTGGAGAAATAAATACAAGTACATAGGCAGTATCTTTAGGATTGAGAAGTAGGAGCCCAAAGGTTAGTTTGTCTCAACACAACGCATGATTAGCTGCTTCTCAGCAATTTTTCTGCCTGATGAATAGGGGAAGCCTCTGCACAAAAGAGTTTACCGTGCCAAACAAGTTGGTTAGTGTAGAGGGACTGGTGCATGGAACATCAGGTACCTTTCCTCCAGATACTCAGTTATCTTTTGTCAAATTCTGAGGTTTCATGAGCGTATGGCGTTTGAAATTTATAGGTCTACCAGTTTATGGTATCACATGATGTAACATTAGTTCCTGGGACTGGAGAGGAAGAAAGTTATTTCTAATCAGTGTAGGGGAGATGATGTAGCCTCTGCCCTGCAAGCAATACTGAATACTGTTATTGAACAGCCTCTGCACTTCCTCTTCCCTTTTATTAACCCCCACTTAGCCACAGCAGAAAGTGGTGGTGATATTCTTTGACCAGCCAGTATTCCATTGGCATATCAGCAATGACAAAGGAACTTGCCAAACATGTGGGGCACTTTGCCCCACGGATGGTAAGTCAGACAACACCACTGAAGTTAATATGTATTATACACACCTCTTTATAAACTGTACCTATCTTTAGCATGGAAACATCTTAGCTATCTGCACCATTATTTGTAGAGAGAGCTTACTAGATATGAATTATTTTATGCAGACCTGTGTGTGACACTTTTTTGATTTTCCACAGAGAGTGATCGCAGGACTGTCTTCATTGCTCTAACTGTCCTCAGTCTCGTGGGCACATTTCTGTTCTTTCTGATTAGGAAACCAGAGGAGTCAAACACACTGGAGGAGGAAGTCTCCGCCACTGACGAAAGCATTGTAGACAACTCGTAAGTGCTTATGGCAATAACACATTACCATCCAGCCAAGCATGTGTGTACCTAGTGCATAACGGAAAACTCCTTATTCGCTTCTCCCTCCGAACCAAAAGCATGTATAATTTGGATAGAAGAGTCCCTATAGCCATTAACTAGTTGATGCAATCCTTACTTGTTCTCCTCATAGGTAGTACACTTGAGCATGGGATAGGGCATAACAAATAGTGTATTTTCATTGGTGAGTAAGAGTCTTTGGAGAGACATCATTTATCTCCCTCCTCTCACTATTAAGCGTATGTATGTTCTTTCATAGTTTTCCTTGCCCTCATCTCCAAACAGTAACTATTGGTCTCCAACCATGGAAGTGATTTGGGGATAGAAGCAGAGCAGAGGGGGGTTTCTGAAGGCATATTGGGGTCAGATTGGAATGAGACTGTTTACTTCCCTTCTAAAAGCACATTCTCAATGTGTGTCTCTGCAATAATTATTCTGCAAGAGAGGGCTTACCTCCTTATTGAGCAGCACAGAAAGAACCTTCAGAGCTCTCTGAGAATTATAGGAAGCTTGATTCACTATCAGAATTTGTATCTGGCAGTCAAGTGCCTTTGTAGTTCTAAGAGCTTTGTAGGTCTCTAACCCTTTTATCCACACCCCTTACCTTAAACAATTCTTCCATTGTTCTTTATTAGTTATTTGAAGCTAAGTGATTTGTAATTTTGATTTGCTGGTGGAGATAGGGCTTAGAATTCTTATTGGCAGGTGCTTTATGTTATGGGTCAGGATTTTCAAAAGCATCCGCTCATCAAGGCTTGTTGTATCAGTGGCAATGTAGGCTGATTATCTGGCCAACAGTTTGAAAACAATATCATGCCACAGTGGTAGGCAAGGGTTGTTTGGACAGATTTAACAACCTGTAGAGATCTGTTAAGCTATCAGTTATTATTTAGCTGCAGATCATTCATAAATGGTCTACGTACCATGCTGATGTGCACATTAGAAATGCAAAGATATAAACACTAATGTCTTCCTGAAATGATATTTTCAGATACAGTTATTTTATTAGCATAGCTGTAGGATGATTAGAAAGACGAGAGCACATGTAGTGGAGAGAACAAGTCTGATACAGACAAAGCCCAGAGACATAGTGCTATAAAAGAGGATACTCTGTGAATGACATATACCCACACTAAAGGCAAATATCTTTTACAACTAGGGGGTTATTTCACAAAAATGTTTTATTAAACATATTAGTGTGTTGAAATGGCTAATTATGGGCAGGAAAATGTACAGAAAACTAAAAGATAAATTAGTCTATTTTCCAACATAATGGTAAAAGCATGGTTATCTCTGGTTCATCTTTCTGATCTTAAAAAAATATTTACCCAGGTCTGTCCAAAGCAAAGCAACGAGGGCAGTGGATGCATTTAGTAAGTATTATTGCACTTTAGAACCATCTCTCAAAAATATTACAACAGATTTATGAACTGTCAAATGATCCTATTTGTACACCACCATATATGAATAATTTTAAACAGAAATTTGGCTTCAATAATGCAGGGCAATAGACCTGCATTCTCCCCTTCCTTAATCCTGAGACACTTAATCTTCCTTGTTTATCACTCAGCTAAACAACCCTCACAGTTCCCTCATCTGTTCTTTATTCATCCAGTGTATCATGTAGCCCAGATCCTTCATATCCCAGATTAGTCCAGGATCTTTAGAGTCTTCAACTGTGGTGCCTGGTTTAAAGTGACATGACATTGAGGCAAACAGTAGGATGCATCTGTGTTTTGAAGGCTCTAGGCACCTCCTGGTTCAAGGCTCAGTGGAAAGAGCAAAGATCTCATTCTGTGGCGATTAAAGAGGATTGATGAGCAACTGTGCGAGTTGCTGAGTTGAGAGGGAAGCAAAGGATATTTGACAATCTCAGGATAGAATTGAAACAAGTCTAAGGAGGTGAAAAAGAGGGTTAACACTAGGAAGGGAGGACAGGGTATGAGAGGGAGAGATCATGGGGATGAGGGGAGGAAAAAAGGAAAAGCCATTCTATGAAAGTAAAAATGTTTTGCATTAAAGAAAGAGCAAGATTAAGTATAAGTTACCTTTTGTATGAATTTACATCAACATTTACAATAAAGTTCAACAATTTAAAAAATAAAAATTCTTCATTCAGATACATGTGTGCAGCTCCCATTGGAGCTTATAATTAGTGGCACTTAACTGTTGGTATCTGAAAGCAGAATTTGTCCCAAAAACATGTAGAAAAACTCAATTATTTTAAAATAAAAATATTCGGAATTGAGATTATAAGAGTACAGTACATAAAATCACTCAGCTTTAATCACTGGAAAATTTATTTGGTTGATTTCCCTCTCTACCCTGTCCCCCCACACTAAAACCCATTCAGATTGGACTTTTATGTTAAAGGCCCCCTATGTAGCAGCCTTATTTAATCAAAGAGAGAAAAAAATCAGTGCATGGTTTGCATCACTTTAATGTATTTGTGCCTTTGGTAAACAGCAAAAGAAAGTAAATGTACTCTTAATGTCAGTGAATTTTATTCATTTATGTTTTTTCTTTGCAGAGAACTCTATTAAGCTATACTTCACTAAAGAGATTTTGCTCCTTAGTGTTACAACGGCTTATACAGGTAATGAAACAGGCAAAAGGACACAATCATTTGATAGTGCCAGGGCATTTTATGGGACAATAAATGAGTACCCCTCGATCAGGATTATATTCCTGTATCCCAGGATATATTACTTTAACATATTGGAGTTTATTACCCTTTTATAGTATTTTTGTACTCTGTTTCTGAAAAATGCTCTTCTGTAGATTAATTTTTTTGTACCTAACCCTGCCAAAATTATGGGATTTAATAAGAGTTGTTAAACCCAGTTTAAGGTCAACCAAGTTGTATCTTGGCTAGGGCATGGTTTATGAATCTATTTTATTACACAGTTTGTCCCTGTTCATACTGGCCAGATTGAATCATGTTAGAACACAATTAAACTGCAGTGGAGTCTAATAATGGTAATTAAACTCATTTTTGTAGATGAGGTGTTTAATATCAGCTCCATCAGACTTGCAATGAAGTGTAGGAGACTTTTGTAAGAGCCCTTGTCCTAAAACCATGTGTGCATTAGGAAAATGTTGCAAAGACTTCCTTCATTGCAGTCACTGGTTTGACTCTGTAATAGGGCAGCCCCCACGTGAAGTGCCTTCCTGCGGCAGGCCGCTACACAATAAAAACATAAGGACGGCCATATTTGGTTCAGACCAAAGGTCCATCTAGCCCAGTATCCTGTCTTCTGACAGTGGCCAATACCAGGTGCCCCAGAGGGAATGAACAGAACAGATAATCATCAAATGATCCATTCCCTGTTGCCCATTCCCCGCTTCTGGCAAACAGAGGCTAGGGACACCATGCCTGCCTATCCTGGCTAATAGCCATTGATGGACCTATCCTCCATGAATTTATTTAATTCTTTTTTGAACCCTGTTATAGTCTTGGCCTTCACAACATTCTCTGGCAAAGAGTTCCACAGGTTGACTGTGCATTGTGTGAAGAACTACTTCCTTTTGTTTGTTTTAACCTGCTGCCTATTAATTTCATTTGGTGACCCCTAGTTCTTGTGTTATGAGAAGAAGTAAATAACACTTTCTTATTTACTTTCTCCACACCAGTCATGATTCTATAGCCCTCTATCATATCCCCCCTTAGTCGTCTCTTTTCCAAGCTTAAAAGTCCCAATCTTATTAATCTCTACTCATATGGAAACTGTTCCATACCCCTAATCATTTGTGTTGCCCTTTTCTGAACCTTTTCCAATTCCAATATACCTTTTTTGAGATGGGGTGACCACATCTGCATGCAGTATTCAAGATGTGGGCGTACCATGGATTTATATAAAGGCAATATGATATTTTCTGTCTTATTATCTATCCCAGAGATGGGCAAACTACGGCCCGCGAGACCATCCTGCCCGGTCCTTGAGCTCCCGGCTGGGGAGGCTAGCCCCCGTCCCTCCCCTGTCCCCCGCAGCCTTAGCTCGCCGTGCTGCCAGCGCTCTGGGCGGCGGGGCTGCAAGCTCCTGCCGGGCAGCGCGGCAGCGTGGCTGGTGCCGGCGGGGTGGCACGGCTGCCAGTCCTGCTGCTCTGAGCGGCATGGTAAGGGGGCGGGGAGCAGGAGGGTTGGATAAGGGGCAGGAATTCACGGGGGGCAGTCAGGGGACACGGAGCAGGGGCTGGTTGGATGGGGTGGAGGTTCTGGGTGTGTGTGTCAGGGGACGGTGAACAGGGCGGTTTGGATAGGTGTGGGAGTCCCGGGGGGGCCTGTCAGGGGGCGGGGGTGTGGATAGGGGTCGGGGCAGTCAGGGGACAGGGAGCAGGGGGGGTTGGATGGGTCGGGAGTTCTGAAGGGGGCAGTCGGGGGCGGAAAGTGGGAGGGGGCGGATGGGGGCGGGGGCCAGGTTGTTTGGGAAGGCACAGCCTTCCCTACCTGGCCCTCCATACAGTTTTGGAACCCCGATGTGGCCCTCAGGCCAAAAAGTTTGCCCACCCCGATCTATCCCTTTCTTAATGATTCCCAACATTCTGTCCGCTTTTTTGACTGCCGCTGCACATTGAGTGGATGTTTTCAGAGAACTATGCACATGACGCCAAGATCTCTCTCTTGAGTGGTTACAGCTAATTTACACCTCATCATTTTATACGTATATTTGGGGTTATGTTTTGTATCATCTGCAAGTTTTGCCACCTCACTGTTTATACCTTTTTCCAGATAATTTATGAATATGTTGAATAATACTGGTCCCAGTACAGACCCCTGCGAGAAACCACTATTTACCTTTTTCCATGCACCTGCCTCAGTTTCCTGTTTGTTTGCCCATGACAGACTCTCGGGCTTGGTCTACACTGAAAAGTTATAGCTCCATACCTGTGTCAGTCAGAGGTGTGAAAAAAATACATCCCTTACTGACTTAGCTATGCTGACAAAATGTAGACACAGCTATGTCGATGGAAGAGGGCTTCCATCGACATAGCCAACTTTATTCAGGGAGGTAGTGTTCCTATGCCAGTGTTTCTCAAACTGGGGTCGCCGCTTGTGTAGGGAAAGCCCCTGGTGGGCCGGGCCGGTTTGTTTACCTGCCCCATCCGCAGGTCCGGCCGATCGTGGCTCCCACTGGCTGCGGTTCGCCGCTGCAGGCCAATGGGAGCTGCAGGAAGCGGCGGCCAGTAAGTCCCTTGGCCCGCGCTGCTTCCAGCAGCTCCCATTGGCCTGGAGCGGCGAACCGCGGCCAGTGGGAGCTGCGATCAGCTGGACCTGCGGATGGGGCAGGTAAATAAACCGGCCCGGCCCGCCAGGGGCTTTCCCTACACAAGCGGCGACCCCAGTTTGAGAAACACTGTCCTATGCTGACAAGAAAACCCAAACTGTTTTTGTAGGCTGCATCTACACTACAGTGCTAGGCTGACATACCTATGCCAGTATAGTCTCCATCGTGTAGATATACCTTCACTGTCTGAAACAAAACCTGCCTCTGGGCATGATTGTTCATATATACCAGTGCAATAATTCCCCTAAACCCTTGCAACAAAACTGTTCTTGACAAACTCACAGTAAGAATACTAATATACAACAATTTTTCCAGTCCTCTCTTCAGGAATAATGCCTCTAGATCACCCACAGACAGTCAATAGTGGCACGGTGTTCCCATTTCCTTTTTGCTCTACTCTCCAGGCCATCCATCTGAGTGACCAGTCTCATGAACTTTACCACAGTCCTCAAGTCAGGTTGCCCACAAGAGAGCTCCTCACTATGTTCCACACCTCAGGACTCCCTGTCTGAGTCCTACCCCTGCTGAGAGCCCAACCTCTTGCTTCGAGGCCCAGCTTCTTCTCACCAAGCTGGATAGGGGTCACTGCCCAAGCCTTCTGCTCATCAGAGGCTCCCAGTTTGGTCAGGTCTCACCAACAATTCTGTTCCAGCTCTCTGCAGAACTCTGCTTTCTCTACCAGGTCTCCTATAGCTCTGTCCAAGCAGCTTTTTGCTCTCTCTCTCTAGATACTTCTTGTCTCTGATTCTCCAGGCATTGTCTCTCCTGTTCTCAGACAGCTGAGCTTTCATCTGGTGATCACCTTCCTCTAGGGGCCAGGACAGGTGCCCTGTTTTAAGACCAGTTGGTGGTCAGCTGACTAGACATAGGTCCACACCCCTGAGCGACATAGATAAGCCAGCTTAACCCCCGGTGTAGAGAGCGCTGAGTTGATAGAAGAATTCTTCTTTCGACTTAGCTACTGCCTCTCGGGAAGGTGGACTAACTATGCTGGTGGGAGAACCTCTCCTGTTGCTCTAGTGAGTATCTACACTGAAGCGCTGCAGAGCCATAGCTGTGCTGCTGTAGTGTTTCAAGTATAGATAAGCCCTTACTTTCTTGGATTCTTATAACGTGTTTTCAAACTTTGCCATTTACCTTTAACACACTTTAAAAATTGGCTATTTTAGCCATGCTGCCTTCTCATCCCTGGGGGGAAACTGCATGAGAGACAGGAGAGTAACATTATTATAGAAATTTCAGTGTCATGCCTACTCACAGTACCAGAACAGTGGGAGAATACAATGTCTACCCCTTATGTTTGGAAAAAAAGTCTCTGTCAAAATCCATAAGGCTAGCACTTTATCGTCTTTCAAATGCCTCCTTAAGACTTACCTCTACCGTATTGTCTATAAACCACTGCCAGCGGATGATGTCTAGGCTGGCGGTGAGCTGAGACTATTGCCTATTATTCAAAACATACTCATTTTACTGTTGCTTTGTCCTCCATCCCCTATCTGCATTAGTTTGTTTCATCCACTGGTTGTGTTTTGTGACAGGGGCTCTCTTAATGCATGTCAGTATACTGCCTAGCATAGTGCAGCCCTCTTAAGAGGTGCAGTACCTTTGGAAGTCGAAGGAAGGTAACATGGTGCTACTGTGGTACAAAAATACAAAAAATAAGATCATGTCTTTTGATATCTGATTCTGCAATCCTTATTCAGGCAAAACTCCCATTGAAATCAATGAGAGTTTTCTGTAACTCAAGCCAAATTGGGCTCTTAAAGTAACCATGTCAGAAACTTAGTCTAGCTTGAAATATGTTGCTGCCATCTGGTGGCTCAAATTCACCAGTACCATCGGTATTGTAAAGTGATTTGGTACAATTCATCATAAGAGCGCCAAAAGCAGATAGTGATTCCGAATTGTTGTGGTCTGTTATTGAAACTGTTGGAAGTTTTGTGAGGCTTTACAGCTCACATACCATGTAAAATCACCTACTATTACTAGATCTTTATATGGTGTACTATATTTTCTGCAATAGTAAAGGCCAAAGAGGTTTACTTAAGAGTTCATTTTTGGCCTGGCTTTCTGTTGGTTTAAGCAAGTCTCTTTGGACTGTTGTAAATATACTTGCTATGGAAGAGTTGACATTTATAAAATGGACTCTATCTATTGAAAAGTCTTATTCCATGACTCATGGTTCTGTGGTCACCCTAGTTGGGACTCAGCCATATTACCTTCCCTCATGTTAATGACAGTACAAGGGTAGAGATGTATTAAGCAAAACATTGGTCTCATCTTAGAGTTTATTTTTATTTTTATTCAGTTTTAGTTAATTATAAATGTATTGAAAGTAGTAGTACATAGTAGGAGCTTAACTTGGAATCTGTCACTTCCTTTATAAGTCTTTAGACAAGGGCTCTTTTTTCAGAAATGCCATCACTGGACCCAAAAAAAAAAAAAAAAGTTGTTTTTCCTGCATTGAAGTCAGGCTTTAAAGACTTGACTATTTGACTGTTTCCCTGAAATTATATTTATAATAATTCTGTGGCACTTTTCATCTGCAAGAATTTCCAAAACAGTTTGAAAATTGAAATACATATTGTATTAGGGATCACATTGCTCATCATTAACATAGAGCTACCTCTGGGATGGAACACAGCAGCTGGTCAACATCTGCAATAACAATACATCACAGCTTAGGACAGGCAAAATACCATATCTTATTAGAACGTTAGGGGAAGTGTATTAATTAAACACAGCTATTTATTGAGCACCTTAGGTATTTTTTTAGCTGTAAAATATATAAAGTTTACTAAACAAAGAACAAAATTTGTGTAGGAAAGTGTTAACAATCCAAGGGCAGTTTGTCTAGTGGTTAGAGCATGAGACTAGTAGTCAGAAGCTCTGAGTTCTATTATTAACTCTACTTCTGACTGCTATGTGACCTTGGGTAAGTCACTTAGCATTTTATGGCCAGTTTTCCCCTCTGTAAAATGGGGATAATAATGGTTACTTACCTCATGTTAGGGGTGTTATGAGCATTTGGGTTTTTTTGTAAAGCACTTTGAAGATGAAGAGTATATGCTAAATATTATGAATGGATATAATACACAAAATAAACAAAGTGGTATATGGTCACCACAATAGTGATGCTTCATTGTATAGGTGAATATTCATGCAGAATTTAACAAGACAGAAAAGAGTTGCCCAAGCGGAGATCTAGCCAGAAATGACTTTCTGTGTTGTAGTGACCTCAGAAACATAGCATTAGTGCAGCCCATGTCACAATACCCATTTTTGTGAAAGCCACTACAAGTCTTAAGGTTCTTACAGGGTTCCAAATTTTGTAATGTGCTTTTTTGAAGTGTGTGTCAATGACTGAAGCACTGTTTTGGCTGGTGCTGGCAGCAGGCCTTCTTAATATAATATTAAATGGTAATTCTAGGTGTGTCACTGGGGCTATAGGTTTGACATCCTCATTGTATAATCTTATAACCAACTTCCAGTTATATGTCATAGAATCATAGAATGTCAGGGTTGGAAGGGACCTCAGGAGGTCATCTAGTCCAACCCCTTGCTCAAAGCAGGATCAATCCCCAGACAGACTTTTGCCCCAGATCCCTAAATGGCCCCCTCAAGGATTGAATTTACAACCCTAGGTTTAGCAGGCCAATGCTCAAACCACTGAGCTATCCCTACCCCACACATATTGTGCCACAGTATCTGAAAGTAGTGATACACAACAGGTGTGTGGTTATATTGTCGTACATTTATTAGGTGTTTGGTGGGAGGTCAAAGACCCATAGTAAAATCTTACTCCCATTGAAGTCAATGTAAGTTTTGCCATTGACTTCAATGGAGCCAGAATTTCACCCTAGGTGCAGATATGACACTAACTGCACATGTCATGGTGTGTGGGTTTTTCTAAAATAATTTATGTATTCTGACTTATGAAAGTCATATATTTTTATGGCTTGGAATATTCCTAAACTAATGTGATTTCATCTACAATCTTCATATTTTAACCATGTATTTGTAAGAGACAATGGTTAGACATAAAGAACTTTTGCATAATGATGTCTGAAATAATGCATAATACTACAGCTGTCAACTTTTGTCTGCCTTTCCTTAAAGGTCTGGAATTAACATTCTTTTCTGGAGTATATGGGACCTGTATTGGTGCTGTGAATAGATTTGGCACTGAAGAGAAAAGTCTTATTGGACTCTCTGGTATTTTTATTGGCATTGGAGAAATTTTAGGTGAGTCTAAAGAAATTAAAGTTTAAGTATAAAATATGAAGTTGTTGAGATTATTGAAAAGGTTGTTTCTACACAAATGAACAGTGCACCACACATGTCAGGCTTGCAGCAAAAGTTGCATATGCAAGAAGTAAAGTACAACTAAAATTTGCTACAGTACTTGGCAGGGTTAGACTAGATGACCCTTGCGGTCCCTTCTAACCCTATGATTCTGTGATTCATTATTGTGCTGCATCTTGTGTAGTCATTTACACTAGTACAAACTGAATGCAGAGAAGGATGTGGAAATTACCAGATAAGAGTCCTAGCAGTTTACACCCATTTTGCATTGGTACAAATGACTATGTAAGATGAGAACAACAGTGAATCCAGTCTATAGTGTTAATAGGCAATTTTTAGCATTTGTACATCATGCTTTTATAGTTAGGTGTGTCTGATTTACATTTTGTATTGCTAAGTCTAAACCTATAATAAAAAGCTACAGCTGTATGCTTAGAGATGAAAGGCTAAACATACACCAAGGGTAAACTTAGTACTCAATTAAAATGATTGAATACAAATCTCAGTTGACTAGATCAAAATCTCCTACCCTTTGCTTACACTAGAGCATTTTGGTGTAACTAACACCATTGAAATCCCCTAACTTGTGAAACACCCTGAATCCACACAGGCATTCACACCACGGTTTAATTGCACTTGCTCTGAATGAGGCTAAGCACAGTATCATCCACCACTCAGGCAGGAGGGATAGCTCAGTGGTTTGAGCATCAGCCTGCTAAACCCAGGGTTGTGAGTTCAATCCTTGAGGGGGCCACTTAGGGCTCTGGGGCAAAATCAGTACTTGGTCCTGCTAGTGAAGGCAGGGGACTGGACTCCATGACCTTTCAGGGTCCCTTCCAGCTCTATGAGATAGGTATATCTCCATATATTACTATTACCCTTCAGCAGGGGTTCTCAAACTTCACTGCACTGCGACCCCCTTTGGCAGGGGGGCCAAAGCCAAAGCCCAAGGGTTTGAGCCCCAGGTGGGTGACCTGTAACCTGAGCCCCACCACCCAGGGCTGAAGCTCAGGCTTTGACTTCGGCCTCAGCAAGTCTAATGCCAGCCCTGGCGACCCCATTAAATGGTGTCGCAACCCACATTGGCGTCCTGACTCACAGTTGGAGAACCCCTGCCCTTCACCATCGCAATCCCTCTGTAGATAGTAAGTACTGGCAGAGCAGCTGCACAATGCAATTAGCCCTTTCAGTACTGTCCCACAAAGCTCCTGCCCACCTTTCATGGATGGCTCTGACAGCCCAGAGAATTCACCTCTGTTACCTGTCAAGTTGCATCCCTTGCCCCATGGAACCAAGGTACCACGTGGCTGATCTCAGCTCTGCCGGTCCCTCTTTCAGGGTCTATCATAGATACATTTCTAATGTACAGTTTCAACATGTGCTGCCATACCTGACGTTTGGATTCTTTCTTTACACTGTAAATATATGATTTAATGGAAACTTTTTAAACATGTTTCTTTTTTTGTCATTAATGCTAATAATTATGTATTCTTTTCCCCTCCTACAGGTGGAGGATTCTTTGGCTTAGTGAACAAAGATAATCGCTTTGGCAGGAACCCAGTTGTGATGCTTGGCATTGTGGTCCATTTTGTAGCCTTTTATTTAATTTTTTACAACATACCAAATGATGCCCCCATTGCTTCCTTCGAAGGAACAGATAATAGCGCTTATATGAATCCAAGGTACAAAGTGTTTTGTTTCTCTTGATCAGTGTAATTCAAAAGCATAGAAATGTGAGGCTGTCGTAAGGGCCTCAAGAGGTCATCTATTCCATCCTCCTGCACTGAGGCAGGATTAAATATACATAGACCATCCCTGACAGGTGTTAGTCTTCCCGGTTTTTAAAAACCTCCAATGACAAGAATTACACAACCTCTCTTGGTAACCTGTCCCAGAGGTTAACTATCCTTATACAATAATTATAAAGTTTTTCCTAATATCTAATCTAAATCTTCCTTTCTGCAGATTAAGCAGATTACTTCTTGTCCTATCCTGGCTGGATGTGGAAAAGAGTTTATCGCTGTCCTTTTTTTAACAACCTTGGAGAAAAGCAACTTGTTCTTCTGTTGGAAAGGCAGCTTCAAGCTGTTTTCACTGACTAGTGATCAAGACCTTACAGAAGGTTTCCATCCACAGTTCTCCATTCTCAGTAGCTTCAGATGTTATAGCAATTCATACCAAAATGTAGGGGGTTAAATGGCAGGTCAGAATGGTGTCAGTTCATATTAAGTGCATTGTTTGTGAACATTATTAATGATGATCTGAGAAATGACTTTAGTTATTGTAGATGCCAATGATTCCAGATATTCTAATATACCAGAGGGCACAACTATACCACACACTGTGACAGCAATTTCTAAAGCCAATTGAATACTCATTGTCCAGGTCCACTCCATTAACTTGTGGCCAGATTCTGCCTGCCCATTACATGGGTGCTCAGTGTTGGGGAGTGGGCATCAGAAGCTTTCTTGCCTTGTGCATGCATAACCCAGGTAAGGGCCAAGCAGAATTCTAATCTCTGTGGTCAGGATATTGCAGGGACTACTCTGTTTCTGTGCCCCCATGGTTCTATCATCTTGCTTTCCACACACACATGTGTGAAGGAGAATGAGTTGGAAGGGAGCAATCCCATGTTTAAATACAAGTAACTGCTAATTTGCCAGTGTAAGAAACTGTGAACATATTAATGGATTTGTGTTAAGCATTATATTTGAAATTTTCTGCAATTTGAAAGGTCCTTTTTAAGCCTCCCATATTCATACAGTTTTCATGCTCTCCATATCCCTGGCTGTCAGATTTGCGTTCCTACTTTTCTATTGCCTGGGAAAGCATTGTGAGCTCGGTGGTTGCAGACATTAAGATCCAGATATGCTTGCCCATTAACAGAAGAGGAGTCCCAAAGTGAGGTAGTTGTTTTAGCAGCTCCAATTCAGTGTAGGATTGACTGGCTGTAGCGCTGGCAGAAAACTTAGAATTTCAGAGTACAAAAATCCTGTAAGGAAATATTTCTACCACCCACATCAGTAATTTTCCATCAAAATTCAAACCTGAATTAAATTTTCTACTTTTATTTCCAAGACAAGTCTGACAAAAGAGTTTGTTTATATTGAGAATCTCTATGTGTACTAGTACTAGCCAGTAGCTGAATATCCCTATTAAAGTTGGTTTCATTTTTCCCTGCAGCAAAGAGTTGGCCATTTTTTGCAGCTTTCTGTTGGGACTAGGAGACAGCTGCTTTAACACCCAACTCCTCAGTATTTTGGGGTTCCTTTATTCAGAAGACAGTGCACCTGCCTTTGCTGTCTTCAAGTTTGTCCAGGTATTATCTTGCGTCAAGTAGCAAAGTCAGACTGTGTATGTGAAGATGTCTTTGGGGGTATATGAATAATTAGTATTCTACTGAAATAATACAGATTTTTTTAGTGAACTCAATAAATTTAATACAGTAACTCCTTGCTTAACGTTGTAGTTATGTTCCTGAAAAATGCAACTTTAAGCAAAACGATGTTAAGCGAATCCCATTTCCCCATAAGAATTAATGTAAATGGGGGGCGGGGTTAGGTTCCAGGGAAATTTTTTCATATATATATATGAATACAGCATAAGTTTTACTTATACAGTATAAGATTTAAACAATTTAATACTGTACACAGCAATGATGATTGTGAAGCTTGGTTGAGGTGGTGAAGGCAGAGGGTGAGATATTTCCCAGGGAATGCCTTGCTGCTAAATGATGAACTAGCACTTGGCTGAGCCCTCAAGGGTTAACACGTTGTTAATGTAGCCTCACACTCTACAAGGCAGCACAAATGGAGGGAGGGGAGACAGCATGGCAGACAGAGACACACACCCTGTGTGTGTGTGAGAGAGAAAGATGTGCATTGCCCCTTAAGTACGCTGACCCCACTCTAAGTACATTGCCTTTTTAAGTAGATCAGCAAGTTGAGACAGCAGCTGGTGCCAGCAAGCTCCCTCTGTCCTGAGCTCTGTCATGTTCCCCCGCCCCCCCCGCTCTATGGAGATGGGGTAAGTGGGGGGCAGGGGGACACCCTGACATTAGTCCCACCCCGCCCACCCCCCCCGGCACAGCAAGCAGTAGGCTCCCAGGAGCAGCTCCAAGGCAGAGGGCAGGAGCAGCACATGGCAGTGCTGGGAGGGACAGCTGAACTGCTGGCAATTGATAGCCTGCTGGGGGGCTGCAGCACAGGGAACTTAGGGGAGCGGGGAGCTGATAGGGGGGCTGCCGGTCCACCCTGGTTCCAAGCCCCCACCAACTAGCTCCAACGGGCTGCTCTTTCTGCAAACAGTGGACATTAAGCAGGCGGCTGCCAAACAACGTTATAAGGGAGCATTGCGCAACTTTAAGCGAGCCTGTTCTCTAATTGATCAGCAACGTAACAATGAAACAATGTTAACCAGAACGACTTTAAGTGAGGAGTTACTGTACTATCCTTCCCAGAAAGGATGGGAGCCTGTTCTGTCTTCTGTGCAAAAACTGGTTCAAGTAGTAGCCCTTGGTTCAGGAGAACAATATAAAAGTGCTGTGTTGATGTATTGAGCCATCAGGCACTCTTGGGTTTTTGAGTGTGAGCTATAGATAATGGTGGGTTCTGCTTTAATGTCTAAATGCATGTTCAGATATGCAGATTCTGATTTTTAGTTTAAATATTTATTTACTGGAAGAAGTCTTTGGAGATTGGGCAGTAGGTAACAGCAAATGTGTTGGTTAAATGTTGGTTTCCAAGTTTTTAAAAGTTTGTACCACATGTCACTTGGAGTTACCAGTTGTGCCCAACACTTGGTGAGGGGAGCATGGGCATAAGAAGAATTGAAATGGTCATTTCACATGTCTTAAACCATCACCCCAAAATATTTATAATTAAGCCAGTTGTGGACTAAATTAGAAGCCCTTCACATAAATGATTGCTTTCTCCTATTCTGAATGGGTTGATAAACTAGCAGACATGGAGCCCAAGTGGATTCCCTCTAAAAGAGGAAACCTTTCTGGTTTTGAGCTTTCCCAGATCATGGATTGTGATAGTCAGAAAACTGAGGCATGAAGAGGTGACAGGACTTGCCCAGGGTCACACAATAAATTGGGGCTGGGAACAGAAGTGTTCTGATTCCCAGCCATGTGCCTAATCCACTAGATCACAGCTGCTGTGTTTGTAAGGACTTTATTATTTCCAATGATTTCCCAATGCACCATTCATCGTTTTGCTAACATTATCCAAGATAGTTAAGTATTTAACGTGATGATGGGTCAGGCTAATTATAAGGGTTCTTTAATCTAGCTGGGAGCTAATGAGTATTGTAGCTTGAATCCTTAACAAGGGTGGAGTGCATTTAAGCAGCTACACTTGGTAGAAATTTGCAGTTATGTCATACATGCATGCCTCTGGTTCTGTAATAAAGTGCTGTAAAACTGGGAAAAGATTATTCAGGTTATTGTTTTATATACTGTACTCATTCCTCGGATGTGTTGTGCATGAGACACAGTGGTTTCAGTACCAGAGAATTGAATATAGGATACTATAAATATCCTTGGGTGTGGTGTTCAATTCATCCAGTGAAGCCCACTTAAATGACAGAAGTTAAAACTGAATTTTCTGTGTATCAGACCAAAAAAAATACAGAAATATAGTTAAGCCTTTTTACCTTTAATATCTGATAAAGGAGTATATTTCTAAGAGAACTAAAGGGTAAATGTCATTCTGTATGCATGTCCGTAATGATAATCTTTACATAGAACAGTTAGACTGCATACCTGCTGTGATAGCCTTTGTTTTATGTTTTTTCTTTCAGTCCATCTGTGCTGCAATCGCATTTTTCTACAGCAACTACCTTCTTCTTCAGTGGCAGCTCCTGATCATGGCAGTGGTTGGGTTCTTTGGAACAATCTCCTTCTTTACTGTGGAGTGGGAAGCAGCAGCATTTGTCGCCCGTGGCTCTGACTACAGGAGCATTTGATCCAGGTGCTCCATCAGCCTGATGTGAGGAGATGCACAGAAACATATTTATTGAAATGACTTGAGAAGGTGAAAAGATCACATCACAGAGGCCGGGATGAAGGAAGCCTCTGTTAAAGCCCTTTCAGTGTAACTGATAGGAACAGTCATAATGAAACATAGAAAAACAAAATGCCAAAATGAAAAGGCTCTCTTTCTTATTTTTATCGACGTTGATGTGCAGGGTCACAAAAATCCCATATGAGAAAATGGAAGGAAAACTGGGGATCTGTGCATTGAACAATTTTATTCAGATACATCCCTTTGCTGAGTGCCTATTTCTCTTAATTTCTCTCTTTGTGATCATGTACTATACAAATTCTAGTTTCATTCCTCTCAAATAGTTTTATTTTTACTTAGATCCAAGCTCTGCAGACTCTTATCTTGTAAAAATTCCTTCTGTGTATGAGTGATATATTTTTAAATAAGATACAGTGTGCTGCAGCATGTCTACATATCTGAGAAACCAATCAAACCCATGGACTTTTGTGGCAATAGAGGTGTTCTCATTGGAACATTTTGTGATGCTGTGCCCCTCCATCCCTTGGTTCCTAAGTATATAACATTGTTGATACCCTATTTTATAGCTTAAAATTTTATCTAGGCTCAGTTTTTAAAAAAGAGAGATCTTAAGTATTATGGGCTGACGTGAAGTATATTAGAAAAATTTGGACAGGATTTTCTTTATTTTAAGCTTATCAGAAGGCTAAGGAAAGGCCAAGATGATTAAGGGCCTGAACCGGAGAAGTGTGGAACAACTGAATCCCTGTTTATATCAACAGGTATTATGAGTGCTCAGCACCTCTCAGGATCAGGCTGCAGATTAGGTTGGCTGCCAGAACGTTCTCCAGGACAAGGAGTCATAGAGACACAGCTCTCAGCCTACAAACATTGAGTTCACTGGCACTACTCATGCTTAAAGTTACTCAGGTGTACAAGTATTTACAAGATCAGGGCTTACATTAGTTAGATGTCCATGTTTGTAATGGCATCTTGTGATGGGCACGTTTTCCCATTTACCTCTTTAAAGCATGGTTAGAGGGGAAAGTGGACTGTAAAAATTGTCCTTTGTTACTGCACATATAGTGTCTGCTTCATGTGCATCATCTAAGTAATATCTGAATAGCTGATTGACAAACATGTTTTATTACTCAATAGAACATAGGAAGAACATGCAATAATTTATTCTGCATCATCAAAAAAACCTGGCAGCTAAGTTTTGGATGCAGAATTATTATAATTGGTGATAATGTATGCAGCAGATACAATGCACCTAGATTTCATTTACCTAGTTGAACTTGCAGTGCTGGCAGTTAGGTTTTGACTAGTAAGCAAATTGATCTGAAGCAACTGAGAATAAATGTGAACACCAACGTGCAAACTCTTTAGAAACACCTTATTAGAAACTTTCTTGGTTCGATTTTTAGCAAAGTACCATCCTTTGTTAGACTGCAAACCTTTTGGTGAGCAAAGTTGGTATGTTGGCTTCTTGTATTTAAAAGATGATTAAGAAAGATTTAAATTATGATTCAGGTTCTCATACTATGTCATAACTACTTAGGTGTGTATGGAGGATAAATTTGGTATTGAATTAGGGGAACCCTAGGCTGTGCCTTTCTGTATCTCCATGCCCCTCTCAAAATGGTGTGTCACGTGAAAGCCTCATGTGGTACAACCAAGCCTGTGCATAGTAAAATGGCACTGTACACAAATTTAGGTGTATTGGCTTTGGGTTCACTCCAGGCAGGGCCGGCTTTAGGAAGTGCGGGGCCCGATTCGAACAGTTTCAACGGGGCCCCGACAGGGATGACTTAAAAAAAAACACGTAAAAAAAACCACGTGGGACTTGTACTCACTGGGCCGTGCTCCTAGTCCTTGGCGGCAGGTCCTTCACTCGCTCCAGGTCTTCGGCAGCACTGAAGGACCCCCCGCCAAAGTGCCGCCAAAGACCCGCAGCGAATGAAGGACCCGCCGCCAAAATGCTGCCAAAGACCCGGAGCGCTGCCAGGTGAGTAAAAATTTAAAAGGCGCCTCTAGCCAGGGAAGAGATTCTCTGCCACTTGCCCCCCACTCTGGGTGGCCCTGCCACTGGGCGCGGGGCCCTCTTAGGCGCGGAGCCCGATTCGGGGGAATTGGTGGAATTGGCCTAAAGCCGGCCCTGACTCCAGGTTTCTGCTGTGAGGTCAGAAAGGTGTTAATGAGAGAACTATTGAAACCCCAAATACTTAGCTGGGAAGTGGATAGGTGAGGGAAACTAAAGGAAACCTTATTGGTCAGCAGGAGTTTCACTGAATAAAGTGTAAAAGGGAGTGAGATGGAGAAGAAGATGAAAGGGGAGACGAGCTAATATAACTATTCTACTTTGTCAGTCAAACTAAAGGGGAAATTCAGGGCAAGGAACCAAATTGAATAAATGCATATGATGTAGCTGGCTGCACATTAGTGCCTCCCATCCACTTCTTTTATTCAGTAATTTCAAATATAATATTTTTATATACCATTCATGATGGGAAAAAAAGTAACAACATTAGGAAATCCTTCAGTGATTAGGTATTTTCCTACTGCATTCTTTTTTATATTTTCTTCAAAGTACCAAAAGGCATAAAGAACTTTAATTAAGAGATAAAATATCAATCTTCATACTATTGGAGTCTGTTCTTCACACACTAGTGAGAGAAGTTTTTAATTGCTACAAGATCACAAGGAGCAATTCTGTTTGGTAATAGGTGGGTGAACAAATTTGTGCTTATGGTGATGAGTGCCTTGCAAATGCATTAAAAATAATACAATTTTGTTTTAGAAGGTAATGCTTCTGATGAGATTGCTTTTAGAAATGGTGCTTTATTAATGGATGTCTGTGTGCAGTGTTGTTCATCTGGGATAACAGAAGTATGTAGAATGCTTTAGTAAAATCTGTAGGGAAAGATTTTCACCTCTAAATTTTCACAATTTCAGCAAGTATTTTGGACCTGATTTTCAAAGGTGCTGAGTACCCGACCTCCCACTGCTGACAATTAGAGTTGGGGGTTCTCAGCACCTCTGAACATCTAGAGCCTTTGTCTTTTTCTATTCTATCTGGTTTCACTCAAAACCAGACGATGTAAGACACAAGGAAGGCTCAGAATTACTTATTAGGTTATTAAAGTGAACTAAGTTTGCTTTTTTGAGCCAAGTTTGATAAGAAATGTACAGAATTCTTCAAGCCACATTATGAATATCAAACATTTTAAAACTGAATACCCTATAAATGTATGCAGTATTGGTGTAGCCCTATTGGTCCCAGGATATTAGAGATACAAGGTAGGTGAAGTAATATCTTTTCTTGGACCAACTTCTGTTGGTGAAAGAGACAAGCTTTCAAGATACACAGAGCCTGACTTGAGGAAGAGCTCTGTGTAGTTTGGAAGCTTGTCTCTCACTTTATCATGTTTTAATTTAAATTTTTAAGAAAAATAGAAAAAAAACCCTCAATTATTCCGGCAACCATATGATATATAGCTACATCTAAACTTGCAGACTTATTCCTGTGGAATGTCAGGACATGAAAAATACATTCAGCTGCACAGGATTAAGCACATTAGTCAGCTGTTTTTGATACAATGATCAGCAGTAAATAGGTTAATAATGTTGACATCCAATTATGCTCCCATCTCTGCCAGCATTTCTAAAGCTCCTATCACCATATCTAAGCACAGGCAGTAAGAGCCAATTGAGATGAATGGGATAAAGTCACATCTCTCTTGGCGCTTGAATCACTGCCCACTGAATTCAATTGTGGTCTTTCCATTTTTTTCAGTGTGAATTTGATCGGGGCCAAGCTTTTTGTGAATTTGTTGTAGTCTAGTTTGCATGCGCCAAAATCACTGGTGCATGGTTTATATTGGGAAAATTATCTCCAGAAGCAGAGCTATAGATTGAACTTGGTTAGCTGCAAAGAAATATATTTGTTTGTTTTACCCTTTACTCTTAATGCTGTAATGGTTTTAGCTTCCTATGATGTCACGTTGTGAGTCCTCCAAACAAATGGCAAAATCCTTTAGGAAGAAAGAGGAAGTCAAAACTGATATTCCTAACTTTTTAATGCAATTCTCCAGCCGCCTCCCTGATTTTTTAAAAATAGGCCTTCTTTATTCATCAAAAAAGCCTAAGGGTGTATGCAAATTTCTCTTCATTTTGCAGTTCTCAAAAGTTTAGATTCTTATGAAAACAGCAAAATCTACGGAAAGATGTTTTGCAGTCTGGATGTCTGTATTCCTTGTTCATCACTAATTGATGTGTTTTAATTTATATATTTAAATTTTGAGTATAATCTATACTAATAGGTTGGGATGAGAAGGGAAACTATTATAGTGGTTTATTTTACAAAAACAGGGCCAAATGCTCAGCTGGTATAAATTGGCAAACCTCCAATTGACTTCAGTGGAGCTACACCAGTTTCCATCAGCTGAAGACCTGGACCGAAAGTTGTAGTGATCCATGGCTACCACACTGTTTGAATGCTGCTATTCTCACAGAAATTACCCTATGAGCTTGTCTTCACTAGAAAATTAGCTCATGTTTGAAGAGCTGTGTTAACTAGCACAATGTTAAACACAACTTTGCAGTCAATATAGACAGGGACCATTTTGTTTAACATCATGCCAGCTGGACATGGGTATACCCTGCTCGAACCATAGCTTTAGCTCTGATCAGCTGGCACAATGCTAATCATGATTTTTTTCTCAATACAGTGAATGCAAAATCATGTTTAACATGACCTAATTTTCTAGCAAAGATGAGTCTTATAAGGCTGTGTCTACACTGATTCTTCTGGAGTTCTTGCAGCTGTACCAGTGCTAGCAACGGTGGGAGGAGTAGCGGAGACCCGCTCCCAGTGTATTTTTCACCTTGTCTTCTAGTAGGTGACATGGTGGTAAAATGTCAGCCCTAGTAGAATTTCAGAGAAAACACAGTGTAAGGAACATTTAAGGGCTAGTCCACACTAGAAATGCTAAAGCAGCTGGGCTGCAGTGTTGCAGCAGTAGCACTTCAGCATAGACACTACCTACACCAATGGGAAAACCCCTTCCATTGGTGCAGGTAATCCACCTCCCCAACAAGCAGTAGCTAAATCAGCGGAAGAATTCTTCTGTTAACCTAGCGCTGTGTACACCGGTGGCTAGGCTTGCTTAATTACATTGCTCAGGGTGTGAAAAATCTACACCCCTGAGTGGCATAGCTGGGTCGACCTCTTTTTAGTGTAGACCAGGTCTAAGAGATCTCTGTTTTACAAGACACTCCTCAGTGACACGTGACCTGTTTGGTTCAGGGGCTGAGACTCCTGTTTGTTACAATTTCCATTAGCACACTCAACTAATGTCAATTTAGAAACTATCTAGCAATACAGTAAAGTGCTAATGAGCAAGTAGTGGAAGAAATATGCTCAGAGCTATAGGAGTGTAATGGAAAGGATATAGAGAGTGCGTCAGAAAGAGCATGCGAGGGGAGAGGTGATCAGGGTTCAATAAAAGGGATGTTTAGGGAATTAGCTGTTGGCATTAATTCAATTTCTGTTTGTTCTGCTAAATTATTATTTCAGTGTTGACAAGCCCTCCTTCAAGCCATCTTTTCTGTTTTGTTTACATTTTGATGTCATGCAGAAGTCTTATTAAAATTGTTTTAAGCCTTTTTTACATTAAAAATGGTGTCTTTGGTTATAATTGATGTCACATTAACTGAAAGAGGAGCCATGTGATGACGATTATAATGAAGACACTGATTGTATGTGAGTGTTCTGACTGAAAACAGACTCCTTAGTATATTTCTTTTGTGGATACAGCCACACAAATAAAAGTGAATCATGGCCTATATTTTTGCTAATATGCTTATTAAGTTGTTGGAATTGTTGTTGTCATTGTTTTAAGCTGTGCAGTCATGTCAGAGGCTTTGTGAAGTTAAGTCAAAATATGTGGGTTGATTGATCTCTGAAAGTCTTTGCATCACCTATATTGGCTTGCTTTAGAAAATAAATGTGTCCTGGAACACCAGCAATCCATTTCAGTCAGGAAGGATTTCACTTCATGCTAGTCATCATGGCATAGAGAATATTGAGATGTCTGTGGAAATACAGATCTGACTTCCACTCCCTGATCAGTTTTCTCATCCCACTCCATTTGCAAGCCCATTTTATGAAGACTAGACCCAATCAGTGAAAGGAAGATTTGGTTCCATCCAGTTTTATAGCGTGGGATTTATCTACCACCCTTAAAAATAATTCTCAAGTTCTGATATTCCTTTCACAACTCTTTTCACATGTACCTGTGATATGCCCTTATAAAATCAATGTAATTGTAGCCTTGTTGATCCCAGGATATTAGAGAGACAAGGTGAGTGAGGTAATATCTTTTCTTGGACCGACTTCTGTTGGTGAGAGAGACAAGCTTGAAAGCTTGTCTCTGTCACCAACTGAAGTTGATCCAACAAAAGATATTACCTCACCCACCTTGTCTCTTGTAAAAATCAGTCAGTTTAATGGGCTCCAGTTTTGTGGTGCTTTGGCACCTATTTAAGAGTCAGATTAGATGCAAGTGAGGAGAGATTTTTGTTCAATCTGATAGCTAGTTGGCTAAAATGTACCATTTGGACCAAACACAGTTTTCTTCAGGAACTGAACGGTGATGGTTTTAGTAAACTAGAACAGTAGCAACTTGGGTAACAATTCTGTTGGCTGTCAGATGCCAAAACTGTGGATTATGAATGAGGGAGTATGGACAAAAATCTGAAGACTGCAGTGGGGTAGGAAGCACCTGCATGCAGAAGGGCCAGCACAGAGGAAGCTGCTTTGCTGCATTTTCCTCTGAGGATGCTGCATATCCCACATCCACAAAATTCAGTGTGTCCTACTAGTCTGAGAATTGGATCCTTTCA